GCCCATCCACAACACCATCGGCCGCGCCATCGTCGACGCCGTCGTCCGGGCCGGCAAGGAGGGCCGCAAGTTCCGCGTCATCATTCTCATTCCCGCCATCCCCGGCTTCGCCGGCGACCTGCGCGACGACGCCGCGACGGGCACCCGCGCCATCATGGACTATCAGTACAAGTCCATCTGCCGCGGAGAGCACTCCATCTTCGAGCAGGTCAAGAAGGAGGGCGTCGACCCCCGGAAGCACATCTTCTTCTTCAACCTGCGCTCCTACGACCGGCTGAACAAGACGCCATCCGTCGATAGGCGGGAGAAGGACACCGGCGTTCAGTACGCCGAGGTCCAGCGCGCGCACGCCGAGGAGGTCATGGGCTCGGGCATTCACGGGTCCAGCGACCCTACGCAGAAGGAGCGCGACGAGCACATGGGCGGCAGGGCCGAGCAGACGGGCGCCGGCAGGGAGGCGGCGGTGGCGAGCGCGATGGACGCGAAGCGGCGGTTCGAGGCCAGCCTCGGCGACCGCGAGCTCAAGGGCGAGTTCTCGGTGGCGCACCACGCCATGGCCAACACGGGCAGCATCGAGGACGAGCCGTGGGACGACGAGGACCCGGAGACGGAGGTCCGCAACTGGATCCAGGAGGAGCTCTACATCCACTCCAAGCTCCTCATCGTCGACGACCGCATCGTCGTGTGCGGATCCAGCAACCTCAACGACCGCAGCCAGCTCGGGTACCACGACAGCGAGCTGAGCATCGTCATGGAGGACACGAAGCGCGTGGCCAGCACCATGGACGGGCGGCCGTACGAGGCCGGGTGGCACGCGACGTCGCTGCGGCGATTCCTGTGGCGCGAGCACCTCGGCCTGCTCCCGCCGCAGGACCTGGACGGGTCCGAGGACCCCAACTCCCAGCCGCCGGGCCACTCGCCCAACGACGCGTGGGACCGCGACGAGACTTGGAAGTTTGTCGAGGACCCCATGAGCGACGACCTGTGGAACATGTGGACCGAGAACGCCACCAAGAACACGGAGCTGTACAGGCACCTCTTCCACGCCGACCCCGACGATAACAGTACGTATATCATGGTTTTTTTTTTCTTTCTTTTTTTCTGAGCGTTGTTCGAAAAACGACGGCATGAAAAGGGAAGCGAAGCTAACACGAGTGACCCCCTCTTTCTCTAGTCAAAACCTTTGAGGACTACGACAGGTACCTGCCCCCCAAGGGCGTCAAGGCCGGCCACATCTTTGACCAGTTCATGCCCGCCGCCGACGCGCGCAAGAAGATTGACCAGATCAAGGGCCACCTGGTCTGGTTCCCGCTCGATTTCTTGCGGGACGCCGAGATGGCCGAGAAGGGACTGCAGGTGAACCAGATAACCGAGAGCATCTACACCTAACGAAGCCGCCGGGTGCTGTGTAGACAAGACAAGAGTTGGGACCTCGGAATGGCGGGACTTTGGCAATATCGAAGCGGCGCGAGAGAGTCGGGACTGGGGATTTACAAGTTTTTAAACGTTGATGAATAATGTATAAAATACCAACAGCGGTCGTAGGACTGCGGGGAGTTGCTCGAAACGAAATCTTTTTAATGCTATACTCGTACACTATACTCGTATGCATACCGCGGAACAATCACTGGTGTCAATGAATCTGCGGGCGCTTCTACTAGTACCGCGGCCGGGCAGTATTAGGAACGTCGATCCGTGATCAATGTTTCTCTGTGTCTTATTCCACGGGAAAAAACTCTTCAGAGAGAACTTCACCGAGGCCTCACCGAGACCCCTCCATCTCGGTGACTGCGGGGTACACACCGAGCTTTTAGCCGCTCCCCTCACACCACCCCTCCATCCTTAATTGACTCACCCTTTTCACCTCTCCAAAAAGCCAATCCGCAGTGACCGCCCGCGCGTCCCGTCCCCCCCTCCCGTACTTCGAATCCACATCGATTTCCCCGGTCGACGACTTCCTCCTCCTTCTTCTCTTCCGCGATAGTTCCCGCCTCTCTCTCCTCCCCCCCCCCCCCCCCCACCTCGTCTTCCATCCCTTACCCCTCGTCGCCGGTACACCACGATCCACGACTCCGAATCAGACGCGCGCAACAGCGACGACGACGACGACAATGGCCTCCGCACCCGAAGCCCCGACCGCCGCCGTCCCCGCCGAAGCCGTCGGCGACGTGGCGGCCGCCTCGTCGGGCGGCCAGAAGGTCGACCCCTGGAACGTGTCCGGAGAGGTGGGTCATCCGCAAATAACATGAAAGGAAGAAAGAAAGAAACAAACGGAAACCCGGTGTTGCGGTGCTTCGGCTTGCTAAGAGGGAGAAATCGTGGGCTGATTGGGGACGTGTGGACAGGTCGGCGCGGACGGCAAGGTCAAGGCCATTGACTACAAGGTACGGTTTCCCTTGTGAACGAGGGAAGGCGCCCCCCCCCCCTTCGCTAACTAACCCCTTTGGTCAGAAAATCGTCGACGAGTTCGGGACGAAGCTGATTGACGACGCCCTCCTCGAGCGCTTCGAGCGCGTGACCGGCCACAAGCCGCACCACTTCCTGCGCCGCCAGATCGTCTTCTCCCACCGCGACCTCGACCTCATCCTCGACCGCGTCGAGAAGAAGGAGCCCTTCTTCATCTACACCGGTGCGTCGTCCACCCCCCTTCCCCCCCCGGCCGCCTCTCCCTAGCGGATGGAACTGCAGCGGCCGAAAGGCGGCGCCATTGGCATAAGACCGATGTCTTGTGTGCTTTGTGAACAGGCGACTGACGAAGGGTTGTTGCTGTTGTGCAGGACGCGGGCCGAGTTCCGACAGCATGCACATCGGCCACGTTATCCCCTTCCAGCTGACAAAGTGGCTGTCCGACGTTCTCGATGCGCCGCTGGTGGTACGTGTGGCCCCGGACCTCGTTCGTTTCAAGACTGTGAATGCTGACCGAGACCACAAGATCATGATGACCGACGGTAAGAGGCGCACGCCCCATCCAGGCGAGCGCTCTTGGCTAACAGCGGTGTCGTAAGACGAAAAGTTCCTGTTCTCCGAGAAGAGGACGGTCGAGGAGGTCCAGCATTACACCAGGGAAAACGCCAAGGACATGTGAGTTCGGGCATCTGCTTGCATGCTCTCTCGCCTGGACCCGGTCACTGACGGACGACTCGCAGCATCGCCATTGGCTTCAACCCCGAGCGGACCTTCATCTTCTCCGACTACGATTACATGGGCGGCGCCTTTTACAGGTGAGTCTAGCCTCCCTCCATCCCCTGAACCGGACCTACAGACTGACCCCCCGAAGGAACATCACGCGCGTAGCTAAGAGAATCACCGTCAATACGGCCAAGGCCGTCTTCGGCTTTGACGACAGCTCCAACATCGGAAAGGTCCACTTCGCCAGCATCCAGGCCAGCTCTTCCTTTGCCAGCTCGTTCCCCCACATCTTTGGCGAGGACGAGAAGAAAACCACCCAGATCCCGTGCCTCATCCCTTGCGCCATTGACCAGGGTCCGTGTTTCCCCCCCGTACTCTTCTCTTCGACGGTATGGGTTCGGCTGACGCTAGACAGACCCCTACTTCCGCGTGACGAGAGATTGCGCCGCCGGCCTGCGCTACGCCAAGCCCTCTCTGATCCACTCCCGCTTCCTCGACGCCCTGCAGGGCCCCGGCTCCAAGATGTCGGCCTCGATCGAGTCGAGCGCCATCTTCATGAAGGACACGCCCAAGCAGATCCAGAACAAGATGAACAAGTACGCCTTCAGCGGCGGCAAGACCACGGCCGAGGAGCAGCGCGCCGAGGGCGCCGACCCCGACGGTATGGAAACGAGCCCCTTTGGTTGACACATGCTCGACGCGAGGAAGCTAACCGTGACAAACAAAAAAGTCGACGTCAGCTACCAGTACCTCCGCTTCTTCCTCGAGGACGACGAGGAGCTCGCCAAGATCCGCGAGGACTACCGCACGGGAAAGATGCTCACCGGCGAGATCAAGAAGAGGTCAGTGCTCCCCCCCCTCCCACTCCCCGGGCAAACCAACATTGAAATCGAAAACGCCGCCCGGCATGCGCAGTGTGACCGCTAACGAGCCTTTATTTCCTGCAGATGCGCCGAGGAGCTGGCCAAGTACTGCACCGCCTTCCAGGAGAGGCGGGCCAAGGTGGACGAGAGCACCGTCGACCTGTTCATGGCCCGCCGGCCGCTCATCTGGGCGGGCGCCGAGAACCTCAAGTCCCTGCCCGTCCGCCAGGAGGCCGGGGACGCCGCCGCCGCCGCCGGTGGCGAGGGCGCGGACGGAAAGATGACCAAGAACCAGCTCAAGAAGCTCGAGAAGCAGCGCCAGATCGAGGAGAAGAAGGCCGCCAAGGCCAAGGAGAAGGAGGCCGCCAAGGAGGCGGCGACCGCCGGGGGTGCGTAGGCGACCTAAGATAAAAGTAAAGAAAAGGATACCCCAAGAGGAAAAAGGGGGAAGGGGGAAAAAAAAGAAAAAGAGAAATTATACCCAAGATTTTTGTAGTGTGTTTCGCTGTCGGACCGTGTTTGGTGCCTGAGTGATATGAGGCGCTGATACCTTTCGAGGCCGTTCTTGATCTGGATTTGCGTTATTTGATGAGAGCAGGGAGGGGATGGATTCGGACTACCCGCGCTGGAGAGATGACCCGGGCTGGAAACGCTGATGCAGTAGCCATCCACGGAGAGACACAAATGTCGTCGGTATTGTTTGGGCCACTGGGTCGATGGGACGGGACTAGTTATTATTGAGGGCGTATGCTGTGTGCTGTTGTCCTCGATACGAGATAGTCTATAGGTACCGTTGTGCGCTCTGCCAGCCAAAAAATAAAATAAAAAATTGAAACCAAAAAGTAAAAGGGGGGATTGCTTTTCCCCACCACCTGTACCAAAGCCCGGACGGAAGAAATGATTACGATTTCTTTGACGAATAAACGATACATGCCTGTGGGAGTTGAGGATGCCCTGCTTCGAAAGAAAGGGGGACATGCCAGAAATCGTCAAGAGAGGGGGCTCTCATCACCGGCCCTGGTTGAAGTTCATCGAGTAGCCTCCCGTCTTCTCGTCCTTGACCATCTGGAAGTTATCTGTGCTCAGGCCGAAAGGCTTGAGGATGCCATTGCCCAGCTAGGAAGCACACCCGTGTCAGCCTCCTCCCGGTGAACATCAATGAAAGGGGGAGACTCAAGTAAAGGCAAAGAAAGAGGAACAAACCAACGTGGGAGGAAAAGAAGAAAGAAAAAAAGAACAAGAAAACCAAAAGAAAATAAAACAAACTCACCTCCTTCAGCTTCCCCCACATCTCGGCCGTCTCCTTCTCCTGCGCGGCCTTTGTCCGCGCCGGCAGCGCGCGCAGCTGGGCCTGCACGATCTTGCGGTCCGCGGGCGCCAGGTTCGACATGGCTGCCAGCGCGCGGTAGTCCTCCTCGGCGCCAGCGAGGCTCTGCCAGCCGCCTTCCTCGCTGCGCGCTCTTGCCCGGCGCATCAGCGCCTTGGCGCGGATCCGGAGGACGTCCTCGGCGCGCCGGCGGCGGGCTGCCTCCTCCTCCTCCTCCTTTTCGTCTTTGGGCGGCTGCGGTGCGGGTGCGGCCTTACTTGCGCCGGCGCTGACAATCTCCTCCTCGACGTCGTCGTCGTCGTCGTCCTCCTCCCCCTTCTTCTCGGCGGCGGCAGCGGCGGCGGCGGCTGCAGTCTTGTCCTTCTCGCGGCGCTCCCTCTCGAGCGCGGCCTCCTTGTCGATGCGGTCGAGGCCGTCGAGGGCGGCGGTGGCACTCGAGACGGCGTCCTTCCACTGCGAGAGCTTGAGGTGACAGGCGGCGATGTTGGAGCGCAGCACGGCGAGCTCGTAGTCGAGATAGTTGGGGCAGGCGGCGACAGCCTCGTCGTACTTGGCGATGGCCTCGTCGTACTTTGACGAGGAGAAGAGGGCGTTGGCCGCCGTCTTGCTGGCGTTGGACTCAGCCAGGAGGGACTGGGGGGGTCGTGTTAGTTTAATGGGGATATACGTATATGGGTTGGATGACGCCGCCTGGTGTCCGGCTCAAACGGGTGAACCATGGCCTTCATCATGCCGGCGGAACACAGAACGGGATTGAGATGGACCCGATTAAGGCTTCATATACCGAAGGCTCCGAGATTGAGAAGCCGAGACACGAAATCAGAGGGATAAAAAAAGAAAAAAACTTACCGCCTCTTCCTCGGGTGAGAACCTCTCCTGGGGCTGCTGCTCCTCCTCGTTCTCGTCCTCCTGGACGGGGTCGCCTTTGCCTTTGCCCTGAGGCTCCTTCTCGGCCTCCTTGGACGCCATTTCTTGAGAGAAATGAGAGGTTTTGATTGTAAGAGCTGTCGAGTAACGCGTGGCTGGAGATTGCGAGTTCAAGGGGTGAGTAGCGACCAACCGAGATTATGTCGTCACCGTCGCTGTTCTCGTACCCCACGTGGATCGTGGCGTGGTGGCGTGGTGGAGAGGGACGTTGAGGCTGTTCACATGTCTTGGGGCGCCTCGAAGCCACAATTGGCAACTGTAGTGGGGGCCCGGAGAACCCCAGTGGCTTGCGGCCCCCTGTTGCTTGGATTCTGGGGTCGTTGGCGCATGCAAAAGTTGGAGAAAGAAAAAAAGAACACCCAACGTTTGCACGGTGTGTTGATGCACCAGACAATTAAATACAACTCAGATCTCGAAGAATACTAAACACGAACATACCCATTTATTACCAGCGTTGCTCCCTTCATTTTTGGAAGCTATGACGTTCTCCTTGCATATGATGAATTAATGGCACCGTTGTCCTCTTTAGAGGTCAAGCTCATCACAGCCATTCCCTTACAAACTGTATAATTTAGCAAGCCACAGCAAAGCCATTACCAGAGACATACCTAGGGTAGACTAGTATTAAGCTAGTAAAGCCCGTCGGCTTATGACTCGTTAGCAAAAGGCCCAATACGGTGCGGCTGTCAATGATTAAAGCTATTATTGAGCCCCATGATCAGTGTATTTGAGGGTTTGTCTGCTTGCTGTATGAGTATTCTTGGGTCGAACAGCTACGTGCCGGGACAATGGACGCATTCGTAGCTATTATTCTCTCGCGAGTCCCATAACCGAGAAGCCTGCGCATGAAGGCAAACAAGGCCCGAAAGGCTCGGCTGTTCAGCCACTTGCTTTGATCGGCTTTTTGAGACCACTAGCTGGAACAAATGAGCCTGCAGCCAGGGATCATGAACCGCAGCGCAGACAATCAACCGCAGTCCATCGTTTTATGAATTTTCAATTATTGTTAATTCAACCGGGGGATCAAAGTGTTCTGATATCGTCCGACGCGTGCAAGGCAACAACAGAGTACGGGTTGACCAGGCCAAGTAAAAGACAAGGAAAGGTGCAGTCTGTACGGGTACCCCTCGCCCGCCTCAGATAACTAGGCAGGTAGGCACTTAGGTACCTAGGTACATACTCCAATCGTTGCCCCACTTCCCGTTCTCGAGCCAATGCTTTCCTTTTTTTTTTCTTTTTTTTCTTGGGCAAGAGCTGAGCGACCCCTCCATCGACGTCGCATCTGTCGACCCCGCCGACCCTGCCTGCCGCGCCTGCCTCGCCTGCCTCCATGGCACCTACCAACTTAACAACCTAGGATCCAATTGTTCCTTCCTCCCTCAATTCCTCTTTGCGGCTCTTTCCCAGAAGGAACAACACGGTTGCTTTCTTAAAAAAGGTCCTCGAGACGACAAAAAAACTCCCCTCTACTTTTCTCTCTCCACGTCACCCAATCGAGGAATCTCTTTCCCTTTTCCACCTCACCCTCGCCCAACTTCCTTTTCTCCTTCTCTCCTAAACCTCGACGCTTCTTCCCTCAAGCACTTCAAACAGCAGTCTCGGCCGTTGCTCTGCTACAGACCACGTCCAATTCCTCGACGTCTTCCACACAGTCATCGCTTCCCCCGACGTCATCATGGCTCCCCGTACCGAGTAAGTAACTCAAAGCTCCCACCCCTTCGCCCAGTGCCAATTGGCTGACACATGAGCTCTCTCAGCTTCCCGCCCGTCCGGGCCTGCCTCTTCGACATGGACGGTCTCCTTCTCGACACCGAGGACCTCTACACCGCTTGCATTAACGTCATCCTCGAGCAGTACGGCCGCCCCCTCCTGCCCTGGAACATCAAGGCCAAGCTCCAGGGCCGTCCCGGTCCCGAGTCCACCCGCATCTTCCGCGAGTGGGCGCAGCTCCCCATCGATCAGGACGAGTACCAGAAGAAGCTGTCCGTCCTCCAGCGCGAGCTCTTCCCCACCACCCAACCCCTCCCCGGCGTCCCCGAGCTCCTCCAGAACCTGGGCCGCACCCGCTACTGGGACCTCAAGCCCGCCGACACAGCCGCCGGCAAGAGCCCCCACCGCGTCCACATCGCCCTGGCTACTTCCTCCCACGAGGCCAACTTCAAGCTCAAGTCGGACCACCTGACCGAGCTCTTCTCCGTCTTCCCCTCCCACCGCCGCGTGCTCGGCGACGACAAGCGCATCGCCGCCGGCCGCGGCAAGCCCAACCCCGACATCTTCCTCCTCGCCCTCAAGACCATCAACGACTCCCTCGCCGACGGCGAGAAGCCCATCACTCCCGACGAGTGCCTCGTCTTCGAGGACTCGGTCCCCGGCGTCGAGGCCGGCCGCCGTGCCGGCATGCGCGTCATCTGGTGCCCCCACAAGGGTCTCCTCAAGGAGTACGCCGGCCGCGAGAAGGAGGTCCTCGCCGGCCGCACCGGTGAGGCCGGCCAGGTCGACATGCACCAGGTCGGCGACGTCGACGACGGCTGGGCCGAGTACCTCCCCACCCTCGAGCACTTCCCCTACGACAAGTTCGGCATGGTCATCCCCCCTGTCGAGGTCGACAGCGAGCCCTTCATGAAGGAGAACGTCGGCGACGTCCTCGTCGACAAGACCAACGGTTCCGCTTGAACGAGGGGAACTTGAGAAGGGACGAGCGACAGGCATTCGGCATTCCGACATGGTGTCATCCCCCTCCCCCCCACCAAGTTGGGTACCTGCCGACCTCTCTTCTTGAGAGACAAAAAAAAAACCCTCTTTCTCTTTTTTTTTTTTTTTTTTTGTGTCTGCCGAACGACACCACGAAGAACGGCTATAGACGAAACACCGATTTCGCGACGATTGACGAATGGATGGATTGGCATCATAGAAGATGATTCCTTGTGATAGGGATGGGGGGGGAAAAAGCAAATTAGACATACAACGAGTGTCTAGTGCAGGATACACCCTTGGTTCTTTTGCTTCTCCTTTTTTTTTTAAAGCATAGGCATTGCGATAGATTCCCAGGTTAGAGAGAAAGGTTACATGCATATAGACGATTGCCGTCCCCCCCAATACCGTGATACAAGTCGATACGCGCACAGTATCTAGCATCCCCTCCTCCTCACTCTCTACGCATGTGACAATCAAGCAACGACGGCGACGGAAGCGGGTGTGGCCAAGACTGAATAACTTGAATGTCTTATGGGTATGGGATGCTTCTCCCCCTTTCCAGAGCGTCCGGCTCTCCCTCTCAAATGCTAGATAGAGCAGATCCACAGCTTGTACCTCACCCCCCCCCCCCCATCTTCCTTCCGCATTTCCTGGTACCAAGTCCCAAGACGCCAAAATAACGAAACAGACAAAAGCACAAGAAAAAAGATGAAATAAAAAGTTTTTAAACCATAAGAAAACATACACGTCCAACTCCTCTCATGTCGCGGCCAAACAGCCAAGCGGCCAAGACGTTCCTTCCCTTCTCGTTCGCTGCGATGCTTTGCCGTCTCCGTCCTTGTAGACCCAAAGTCCCTTGCCCCCCCCCCCCTCCCCCAACCAAGAGGATGCGAAACATGAACAAAAAGAGATAAACAGAGATAAAAAGAATTGTTATAAAGAGGCTTTTTCTAAAATAAAAAAATGAGAAAAATAAAACCCCATAAAAACCTCTGACGGAAGAAAAGTGGTCGTGATTGTAAGACGACAGCCAGTGCCATCTTTCTATCCATCATCCGCAATGCTGCTAACGATGACCCGCCTATGTTTGTTGAGGGAATAAAAGGTATTACATGTAGACCAGAGGGACCTTGGGGGTCCTCCGAGAAAAGAGCAGTAGAAGGGTGAAGAAGCTGCGCAAAAGTCGGCTGCGGAGTTGGCCATGCCAGAGGAGTCGACTCTGCGAGGAAAGAATCATAGCGAGGAGAGAATCATAGCGAGGAAAGAATCATAGGAAGCCCTGTGCGCTGTGCGTGTTTGACCGGTTGGGGGGCTCGTACCAGTTCTGGTACGGGTGGTTCGGCAGGCTAAAGTCGGCGAACGAGAGCGGGTTGACCAGCGCCTTCATCGGTGCCGACGACGCGGCGCTCGACCCCGGAGGGCCCGACGTGCCCGACGAAGTCGCCATGGCGGGCGGATTGCTAGGCGGGCCAGGCCTACCATATCCAACCGAGCCCCTATGGTCGTTGATGCCAGGGAGGGTGGAGTGGGAGGGCGCGGGGCTGGGCCAACCCCAGGCCTTCTTGAGCTCGCTGTGGATCTTACCGAGTCGCCAGCCGCTCTCGGCATGGATCTTGTCGAGGATCTCGAGCACCTCCTCCTGCTCGCGCGGATCGGTCAGGACGGCCGAGGCGATGGCGAGGGAGCGGATGGCAACGGAGGCGACGCCGCGGTCTTTGGTGTGTGCGACGATACCGCAGACCTGATGCGCGTGGTGCAGCTGCAGGGCACGCATCTCCTCCGACGCCTTGCCCGGCTCCATGGGGTTGGTCTGGGCGAGGATACACTGGGCGGTGTGGTAAAAGAGGCGGCCGATAATGGCGGCGCGCTTGATTAGCCTGTACATAGACTGGTTAGGAGAGAGACCATTGTGAAGGGAAGGGGAGGGGAGGTGCGAAACCTACCAGACGTTGGGGAAAGCAGACTTGGACTTGGTCTGCGACGGGTAAAGGTAACCAAAGGGGTGCATCGTCCTCGGACACACGTTGTTCCACCTGTCACACAACCTCTTCAAGTCTTGCCACTGCGCCAGCCGGTTGCCCAGACGGATTTGCTCGTCATGGGGGCTCGGCTCCTGAAACCGCGGGATCGTGGCGCGGAAGTTGGCAATCTTGGCAACGATGTACAAGATCCGCTGCACCCACAGCTCCTCCTGGCCGAAGCCGTCGCCAGAAGCCTGCCTCGTAGCTGCCGCGACCGCGGCGCCGGTGTCTGCCGCAAAGTCCATGCCTAGACCCCACTGGTCCGGGTCCCACGACGTCTGCCAGTTGAAGGCCAGGCAGGAGAGCACCTCCATGCCGATGTTGAGCCAGAAGCAGGCGGCGCCGATGCCGGATGACTTGGCGTCCCACTTGCACTCGCGGATGAGGGCGCGGGCGCCAGCGATGTGGTTCATGCGCTGGGCGGGCTTCTCGGACATGATCTCGTAGACGTTGAGGACAACGGCGGTGGTGGCGCACTCGCCCATGTTGCGGTCCGGGTTTTGCAAGCTGCGGAGGAGCTGAGTCGTGGCGGTATCGTAGTAGAAGAGGGCCTTGTCGTCCTTGTAGGCCGGGTTGACGAGGGTCAGGTGCTTGACGCCGCAGGCGAGGCAGGCGTTGAGCAGCATGGGCGACTTGAGGGAGTGGTAAGGGATGAGACGGGAGAAGTGCTTCTCCTTGTCGAGCGAGTCCATCCAGACGCCGACCTCCTCGACGAAGACCTGCATGTACAGGATCTCCTCGGGCGAGTTGAGGTACTCCCTCTCGCGGGTCGAAGCCTTCTCGCTCGGCGGCGGCGTCATCATGCCATCTGGGGCCAGGGGATTGGCGGCGGCAGCGACGCTGCCGCGGTAGCTGTGGGGCGGCGCCGTAGGCTGCGGCACGATGGACGCTGCGCTCGATACGTCGCTGTCGCGATGGCCGTGATGACGAGGGGGCCCATCGCGGTACGGGGCAAAGTGGTCGTGGAGGCCGTACGGGTGAGGCCCCGGGTGGGCAGAGTTTTGAGGCGTGAGGTAGGGGTTATCGCTGTCACGACGCGGGTGCACCGACTCGGCGGCCCGCGGCGGCTCGTGACGGTGGGCGTAGCTGTACATGGGAGGCGGTGGAGGGTGGTGCAAGATGTGAGTCCTTGGTGATACGGATATATCAGGGCCACTTGCGTGTGCTTGAGGGAGGAGATGGCCTTGGTGACGGAGGGTTGGTTCAAGATGGCTCGTGTGCCGAGGGGGGGCGGCGGCTGCTGCTTGCTTATCTAGGTGAGCGTAGCGGCCAAGACCTCCAACATATTCTGAGGCGATCTGCCTCGATTCGTCCTGAAATTGGACTGGCGGCTGGCGTTAGCACCGACAGTTTCTGGGCAACTCATGCGGAATGGCGACCTACCTGACCACTCGACGGTGGGCGGCATATACGGCGGCTGCTTGACTTGCACGTCTATGAAGTTTAGCCGCACGCCGCGCTTGCACTCGCGGCTGCTTTTCCTGCAATTTAAACATTCTGGTAACCCTTCGTCACATTTTAGATGCCGTTCTCTACACGTTAGACACCCCGTCCGCACTCGTTTTGATTTCGTGGCGGTCACGGCGGCGGCGGCGGCCGACTTCTCTGGTGATTTGGGCTTGATGAGGAGGTCCCGCGACGGGGTGAGTGAGTGAATGCTCGCGCTGCGGCGGGGCGGGATGTGGGAGCTGGGCAAGTTCATATTGGCGGGTTGAAAGTGCTGATGCTGGTAACTCTGCTGGTGATAGGGCTGTTGATGATAGAGACTTTGCCTAAGATATGAGTTGGAGGCGGTGGAATCGGCTTCGGGGTCAAGGGAAAAGTCCGGGGTGAAGTCGGAAGAGAAGCCAAAGGAGAGGGTTGAGGTTTGGTCGTCTTGGTCGTCTTCGTCGTCGTCGACGCCTAGGTAGGTATCCTGTACGAAGTTGAGGGACGGATGCTCGTAAGGTTGCAGCACCGCCGAACCAAGGCTAAAGCCTGGCACGAGGACGCCTGCAGAGGCGTCGTATGCCTCCAGGGCTGCCAAAAAAACCCCGTCTCTGGTGAGTAGAGACGGAGAGGGTGTTCAACGAGGGTTCGAAAGACCCGATTGACGCGATTGAGGCTGTGACACGGGTACAGTCGTGGGCATGAACGAAGTACGGTTTGCTGTGAGAGGCGGCAGAATGTCGGTCGTCGGGTTTTGACGGTCTCACGATCAGAAAGCGAGAAAGATTGGCGGGGAAAGTTGAGTGAGCGGCTAGGGGGCTCAGATGTATTGGGGGCCCACGGATTCCTTAAAGGGTGCTTGCTGTGCTGGTGGTAGTGGTGGTGGTGGCTGTTAAGATGGGTGTTATCGGGTTGGCGACAGGGTTGAAACCGGAGGATCGCCAAGTCTATGGTGTGATGCAGCAACGTTGAGTGTCGGTAGCGGACGGTGAGCGAGTAAGCAGGGTGGAAGGGAGGAGAAATAGAGAGGGCGCGAGAGTGAGAGACAAGATGCGTGTGAGAGAGAAAGCGGTTTGCGAGTTGAAAAGCCGAGATGCAAGACACAAGCTTGTGTCCTGGGAGGATGGGATTGGCTTGACTAGCGCAAAGGACGGCGAAGCGTGAAGAGTGGTCCCGTCCTCTGTAAATCACTCTAGGCTCAGGATTGGCCGTTGGACGGTTTGTGGAGTGGGTGTGTTAATGGGTGTGGTGTGCACACGGTGTGGTGGGCTCTGTCGGGTGGATGGGACTTGTTCTGTTCTCGCGCCTACACAAGGTATGCAGGAATCCCGGGCGGGCAGGGTGGGCAAAGTCTGGGGGCGTGGGCGTGGGCGTGGGCGTAGGCGTGTGTCTGAGGGAAAGCCAACAGCCAGCAACAATGTGCTCGTTTCTCTCTCTCTCTCTCTCCCTGGTTGGCGTCGTCTGGAATCTGATACTGCGATCTCCCCTGTTCTGTGGTGCAGTGGGCGTGTCTCGTTGATGGACGGGGTTCAGCCCATGGATGGGAAGCAGCACCTGTTTCGATGGACTATACTCTGGACCAGGTATGACGAGGCGGTAACAGCAGAGGGCAGGACAGGACAGGACAAGACAGGACAGGACAGGACAGGACAGGACAGGACAGGACAGGACAAGTTCTTGCCCAGGCGACGGGCGGTAGGAGTAGGCGTCGAGATGGAATCCCTCGGCAACGCGACGGGATCAAGCGGGATGGCTCTCGCAGCTGAAGAGGAACTACCTACGCAGCTGAACGGTTAGCGGGGAGGGAACAGGGGTGGAATGTCCTGCTTTGTGGGTAGTGGTTGTGAAAGCGTGTTCTGGCCAAGGCAGTTCTTGCAATAGGTAAAGAGATGCGGATGCGGATGCGGATGCAGGTGCAGGTGCAGGTGCAGCCGCGGTATTGGTCAGGCAAGTGAAGACGAATGTTGCCAGCAATGGGAACAACGAGTGTAGGTAGTAGCCTGGACTCGTTTGACCGTACCTGGACTCAGCGCCAGAAAGTTCCTAAATAGGCGAGGTGAGGTAAAGGAACAGAGCGTTGACAGGCGGGCTATGTTTAGCAAGACGGGCCACCAGACGTGTGGGTAAAAGAGGGGAGTGAGCAGCGCCGGTCGTCGGGAAGTGTGGGTTAGGAAAACGTAATGGTCGACGTCGGAATTAAGTGCGTCCAGAACTTCTTCTTTTTCTTCTTCCACAGATCATTGAGCTCAGGTTTGTTTTAGAAGGGGGGGTGTGTGTGGAAGAGAGAAGACCCTCGGCTCGGAGGGGGAGGGCCTACAGCAAGCGGAAGGTAACCATTTTCGTGCGAGAGTGGATGCAAAGGTGCAGGCCGAGCGAGTGAGGGACGGAGGACGGAGGACGGAGGACGAAGAGAGAGGAGAGAGGGGAGAGAGAGAGAGAGAGAGAGAGAGAGAGAGAGAGAGAGAGAGAGAGAGAAATGAGACGCAGCCAACTGGAGGCCAAAGGTCGGAGGGAGGAATGGATGGGTGGCCGGTGGGTGTGTGGCTTGGAAAAGTCGAGTAAGGGGAGGGAGGGAGCTTGGAGATAGACTCGACTCGACACAGCCAGGTAAAACGATGTCTGACGCCTACACACCAGGGCGTGTTTTGATCCACAGACGGCCGGCCCGGCAAGGCAAGGCAGGTGTCTCCTCTCCCCTCTTCCCTCGTCTCTTTCCCTCTCTGTCTCTTCTCTGTCTGTGCCTGCCTCTCCTCTATCTCTCTCTCTCTCTCTCTCTCTTTCCTCCGCTCCTCCCCCCCCTCCTCCTTCTCAAACCGGAGCGAGTCCCCTGGTATCCACTTTTTAAGATGGAAGAAGCGTTTGCCGATGGCTGACAGGTACGTACAGTACAAAGCGACTGAGAGTGGCATTTCCAGGGCAAGTACATACAGCCACCAACTGCCCCGGTAAGGTACTCTGCAAGGTAGGTACACGCGTACAGGTCATGTACACTACACCGTCTTTGGTCACACTGATCGGGAAGGACTGATCTGCACATGTGCCTGCCTGCCTGCGTTCATTCTTCAATTCCTCGACGCTGGCGACGGACCGTCCGGAGCAGAGACACGGCGGGCTGGCGTTGCGCTGCGTTGCGCCTTGTTGCAACTTTTGTATATCAACGTTAAGTCATGCATCGTTGCCACGATGAAAGCATTACCGAGTCTTCCCCACTAATGTGTGAATGTGTGATATACGTAGTAATGCCTAGTGCCTTGACTTGCCCTGACTAACTAGACTTGACCTGACTTGCCCTGACTTGGTCTGGCACTCAATCTGGCCAGAGCCCGCGCAGGCTGAGCCGTAAGTCCGCGCCGTCTGATCCGGCCCCGATGGCCTTTAACAACCAGCGGTGCACAGCGGGAAAACACCCCCTTTTGCCGAACTGAGAATCCTCGTGAATAATTCGCAACGATGGGGGAAAGGGCAAGACCAGCTCGCGACCCGTGTGTCTCTCGGGCCAATGCCATCATGCCAAATGCGTGCAGACACAGCCACAGGGCGTTTCTCCAATCGCCTCCCGTGCCTGGCGCGGGACGCTGTTGCAGGCTAGAATCATGGTTCAACCAACACACGCACCCGCACCACCACCACCACCACCACCACTCCCACCAACCATGACGACGAACAGCACACAAATTGCACGATTTTGCGAGAGGGAGAAAGTTACGGTCAATTGGACCCTATCATCTCGTGGCCATTTCAAATGTCTTTCCCTCTCACCTTCTGCTTCTTGGATTTCTTGCTTCTCCTCCTCCTGGTAATGCCCAATGCCGCAGTGTCGTGTCCGCCAGCCGCTGTGAAAATACGGTTCAGGCGTATCAACCGAATGCCAAGTAAATGTCAAGCAATGCATAAACACACAACGCTGCCCCGAGGACGACGTGTGTTCCTTTTCTTTTTCGTCCAGGGATGGGCCGTGAACGCGTTGCCTCGTCCGTCGTTGTCGACACTCTCGTTAGAGACTTGCTTCGGCTTCTCTTGCTCCCTAGGAAACCCTTCGAACCACACACACACACTCTCTCTCTCTCTCTTACCTCAGACGACCGAGTCCCATGGTTACGGGGAGTCATCCCGTTGCAATCAAGACGAATGGCCTTGGTTTAGCCTTTGAACCCCTCCCCGGGTCTCCGTCCCTTTCTGACGACTGGAAATTTGTGGGCTCTCTGCTCCACCCGATATGTCCATCACCAGTCAGGCCCGCCGCGGCGATGACTTAGCGAAACTTGCCGCGTCCCCCCCACTTGCGGGACGAGTTGCAATTGCAGTCGCAAGCTGAGATCGCATCCGGGTGATGATGCCTCTCGTCTGGCGGGGAGGCTTGGGCTTAGCCACCGGTTCCGCGCGTCACGGTCGCGGACCGTCGTATTCTACCGCCCCATCTGTCGGACGGTCCGCAAAACAAAAAAGGGAACGAAACCCGCCCCACCGTCATCGTGCCAAATATGGCCGGTTATCGCCTGTTCCCTCTCGTCTCCTCTCCCCCTCTCTCATCTCTGTCCACCCCGGCCGGATGTTTGCTCCAGGCCGTCCGGGTCGGTTTGATCGCCGCCCTCCAGCGCGACCATTTCCCTGCCCGGGTACGTCGATCCCAGAGCCAAAAAGTCTCTGCCATTTCGAAATTCACGACCGGCTAATAATCGCCTCGGTTCAGCCGCAAGGAAACTGCGGCTCAACTGCTGACTACGGTTGTGAGAGCGACAACCAGCCACCCCCTCCATGTCGGCCGATCTGTCATGGTGGGCGATCAGAGCCGTTGAGGCGTCTCAAACTCTCCCAGCTATAATGCTGGGGTGCGACAGCATAAACTCTCTTCTTCTTTTTTTTTTTTTTTTTTTTTTTTTTTGGGCCAATTTGAGTTGTGCCAGTTTGCCCCGTCTGGGGTGCGTATATGGGCGACGAATGTCGCGAGTATACCGGTACCAAACCTCCTCAAAGCTTGCTGAAGGTTAGCACAGTACCTGCGGTGCTTTATCATCCAATATGGAAACACAAGTACTGCCTTAACCTTCAACATGCTGGAGGGAAGTTTTTGCCCTTGTTTCGTTTGGTCTTTGCGCTGGTCGAGAGAGACCGCGCTCGCTGTAACCTTTCCCGTAATGAACACAAGTCGTTGCGTCTGCCCGCGTCTCGTTGCCCTTTCTTTCGGGTAAACTATCGGGGACAAGGGGAGGGGCCCGCGGCTTGACCCCGTCTCAAGATTCGTCTGGTCTCGCAAATTATCCCTGGGTTTAAACTATCAGAGTCCCACCCAGTCGTCGTAGAGTGCCATGACCCCCCCCTCCCGCACTCGGCTGTTCTAGCTGCCGAGACTGGCCCAACCAACTTGGCGTGCCGACAGCAGGCTGTAGCGAGCGGTCTTTTGCGAGTTGGTGGTTTTGCCAAGAAAGATGATGATGCTAATGTTGCCAAGTGCCGTCCAGTGGTGCGAAACCTGCACCAGACGAACCCAGGACTGAAACAGAGAGTCGCGAGAGCCACACGTATGGATGGATATCTGCTTTTCGGCCCCCCCCCCCCCCCCCCCCCCTGCCTTCCCTGTCAGTTGTGACTGCTTCGCCGCGTCCACCGAGCTTATGGGCGCGATACTTCAGGAACGTAGCACGTCGTCGTATGCTTTTTTTTTTTCTCTCCTCACTTGTTATCCAAGCACCCTCAAAGTGTATCCAGAAGCGAGCCTAGGGCCCTAGTCCCATAAATGTCGTACCAGAACCGAGCCGGGAAAGCGAAGGCGGACGATCATTCAAGGACAGAAAGCTGTCGCGTCATGTTTCTCGGCGAATTGGAGACACAAGGTTGTATTTTCTATGGGGCAGCGAATGGTGGAGGAACAGCGACACCGCCGTGTTACTGACTTTCTGCTTGTACTCCGTGGCGAAAAAGGTAGTCACAGCTAGATCGTCATCTTGTTTCGACACATACCCACATCGATATGCCCCCACTGTAAAGGGTCTTGCGCGGACGAAGGCTTGACACATCGCATCCGGAGGGGGGGGGATGGGCTTCTCTGGTAGTTCTTGCCCTGCTCTGCCCTGCCTGCCTGCGTTATCCCCTGGGTTGACGGCGTTTCCTAGAGGAAGCGGGAACGCAACTTGTGGTGTCCCGGATGTGGGGGGTTGTCGGCCTTGGCCCCTGGGGCGACTCCTCAGCCCGGACGACGAGTCGAAATGCAAATCGCCCCAAATACCCTGGTTTTTCCTGCCACCTCTCGAATCAGTCATCTGCAACCGACGCCGGGGCTGATCGAGCAGCTTGGCGGAGCTGGTGGTACAGCTCGAGTCTCCTGTGCCACAGGCTCCCCCACACATTGGACCTGCGCCTCTTGGCAGAGCAGCCGGCGATGCCGTGCAAAAAAGCAACGACAATAGCCCATCAGTGCTATAACTTGCGGTTGTAAGTCTAGGGGGGTGGGGGGGGGGGGAGAGAGGGGATTAATCCTCTCCCCCTTCGAAATCCTCGGTGCCGAGTCACACCCGTCGCAGTCGTCGTCCGCGGAGGGAGATTGAATGTCACCCCGCGCTGCAACCGAGGGTTCCATTTGTCGTGACGGCTTTTCGTCTGAAAGTGCCGGTAGGGCGAGCATGGTTGGACGAGGGCGGAAACCACTGCCGGGCTTTTCTGCTACATCTCAGCCAAGATGCCAAGAAAGCGTCTCCAGGCGTGAAACAGGAGGCTTGACAAATCGGTATCAAGGCTTTTCTGGGGGAAAAGGAAGGGAGAAGAAGAAGAAGAGGAGGAAGAAGAGCCGAGGGAGATTCGGCCGCTTTCTTCCTCTGCCTTTTTTTTGTTTTGCCCTTGGGAAAATCCGAGAAGGGAGAGCGGATGGCAAGTTCAGACTTTGAGGAGGGGGGGGGGGGGGGGGGGGTGGCCGATTTGGTCGGCTATGGGCGAGATCACGGCCCGAGGAGAAACACTGACGGCAATCTTGTATACCGGTAGTCGTGTCACACGTACAGGTCGTCTGTACCATGTGTACGACGAGACTGACCTGGCATTGACTCCATGTCCCCAACGCATTATGTCACAAAATGAGGTAGATGACTAGAAACCTGCCAAAATAAACAATAGAAAAAAAAATACAGAAACAGATATCGCGTTAACAGAGGGCCGCCTGCAGACAAAGGCACGGAAAGGTAAGGAGGGGAAGGAAGAGGGGAGTTGGGAAAAAGAAGGTGAGCATGGGAGCCCAGGAAGGAAAAGGCTGTGACAGCGGGAAGTTTGGCGAGGTTATTCAGTGGATAACGCTGCGAATTCCCCGACGCGGCCCACGCCAACCTCACCACCCGCTAAGGCTCGGTGAGTCGGCGGTCAGTTGGCTGTCTCCTGGCACCCCCCGGTCCCATGCTGACTCATCTCGCTTGTATAATTTGCTTACGTCAGATTCTTCCACCTGCAGGACCCACACAAGCTTCCGCCGAAGCTGCCGCCTTCACCGAGCTCACCGAAGACCCTGCGCCCATCTCCACACAAAGCTCTCTCTCCCTCCGTCCCCAAAAATCCGCCGCAGAAACCATCACAGTTCGCCGACTTCATAAGCCATTGCGCCTCCACAATGGCCACGATCCCCTTCCTACCTCCCTAAGACACGCAATCCCCGATTTCTCGTCTCATCCACACGATTTGAGCCCGCTCAAGATGCTCGCCCGCACCCTCCGCGCCGCGGGCACAACCCCAGCACGTGCTCACCACCACCAGCTCCGAACGGCATGCTCCTCCTCATCCTCCTCCGCCGCCGCCGCCGAGACCCTCCCCTCCAGCCCCATTCGCGTGTTCCGCTCCGTCTCAGATCTCCGGAAGTGGCGTCGCCCACACGTCGTCAACTATCGTTCCGTTGGCCTAGTCCCGACCATGGGCGCCCTGCACGAGGGCCACCTCTCGCTCATCCGCGCCGCCGCCCGCGAGAACCACCACGTCGTCGTCTCCATCTACGTCAACCCGGCGCAATTCGGCGTCTCCGAGGACCTCGAATCGTACCCCGTCACCTGGGCCCGCGACGCCGCCGCCCTGCGCGACCTCGACCGCGAGCTAGCTGACGACGGCGGCGCCCTGGGCCGCGTCAGCGCCGTCTTCGCCCCGACCACCTCCGAGATGTACCCCGCCGGCTTCCCCGGCCAGGCCGTCGACAGCAAGGGCAGCTTCGTCACCATCACCCCCGTCGGCGAGGTCCTCGAGGGCGCCAGCCGGCCGACCTTCTTCCGCGGCGTCGCCACCGTGTGCATGAAGCTGTTCAACATCGTGCAGCCCGAGCGCGTCTATTTTGGCCAGAAGGACGTCCAGCAGACTGTCATCATCCGCCGCATGGTCGAGGACTTTATGCTACCCGTCGAGGTCGTCGTCGGCGAGACGATGCGCGAGCCCGACGGCCTCGCCCTCAGCTCCCGCAACGTGTACCTCGGCGAGCGACGGCGCAAGGTCGCGACCGTGCTGCACCGCGCGCTCAAGGCCGCCGAGGGCACGTACCAGCAGGGCGCGCTGGACCGCGACGCGATCCTCGGCGCCGCGAACCGGGTCGCCGCCGACGTACTGTCGGAGCAGTCGAGGTCGGCACCCAAGGACAGGGTCATGTTCGAGGTGGACTACATCTCGCTAGCGGACCCGGATTCCATGCAGGAAATCAACACCGTCGTCCCCACCAAGGGCGGGATACTCAGCGGTGCCGTCAAGATGTTGCCGGTGGAGGAGCCGCAGCCAGACGAGGACCTTGGCCACAATAATGGGCCGGCGGTGCGGCTCATTGACAACATCATCCTCAAGCCTAATACCCAGTAAAAGTCAGAGGGTTGGCACAGCCGGCTTCACGAATTGGGACGAGGACCTGGGCGTAACCATTACTTGTTCATCGCATGATGCTATAAAAGCCTCTTGGACACCACTCGAGAATGTCATGCTTTGTAACCCCCCGGCTCCCCCCCCCCCCCCCCCCCCCCCCCAAAAAAAAAGAAGGAAAAGGAAAAGGAAAAAGAATAAGATGTGCATCATCATGATAATCATACCCGCTCTATGCGTTGACAGTAATACATCATTTACAAGTGTGCGCGGTTCTCCAACGACCGGCGTCTTCTCTGTTCCTTGACGCTCTTTGTGAGCTGTCGCGCATCCTCGACACTTAGCGTCGGCGAGACGCCCTTGCCATCCACGTTCCTTGCGGCGTCGAATAACTTGCTTCCCAGGAGGTCTGTCAGGCGCAGCACACGGGTGCTTACAGTGGCGCCGTCGCGACGGTTTTTGCCTTCTCGTCTGCTCGAGGCAATCTTCTCGGTGAAGTCCCACAGCCGACCAGACGCATTTAGGCTGCCGGTTTCCGGATCGCGGGAAGGACGCCACTCCGGGTCGAGGCGCAGTCGGGGAGGAACCTTGGGGTCCTTGGACTTGACGACCTGGAGAATGCCCTCTTCCTCGAACCGTTGATATGCGTTCTTCAGAGTCTCCTTGTTTACTGCCTCGAAATAGCTGAGATCGCCTTGGTGGTAGAGTGTCTTGCCGAGCTGGGAAGATGTTAGTGGAGCTTCCCTTGAGAACGATTACGCATGCATGCTTACCAGCTGTGCGCTGCCCTGGGCCTTGGCCGCCTCGATCCAGATGTCGTCCTTCTGGCCCAGAGGTGGCGTCAAGCCCATTAACGAGACAGCCGCGAGCCAACTAGCCTCGATGAACGGCCAGATGAGGAAGCAGTAAAAGTCGTAGTTCTCTCTGCCAACCGCCCTCTCGTGATCCGAGAGACCAATCACGGTCACCTTGCCCTGGTCGTCCCGGTGCAATTTCAGCACCTTGTCTGCCTCCAAGTCTCGTAGCGTCTTTTCCAGGTTAGCAGCGAGACCTTCGCTGGGGAAAATGAATTCCCCGCGGAACAGCGACGACAAGAACCGAATCTGGTTCTGCAGCTCGTCGAAAGCGATGTCTTGCATGGCCGGGCCGCCTCCCTGTTTGACCTTCATGTACATGGCAGCGCTTACTATGGCCTCCGAAATGAATAGGTGAATGGTCATGTTGCGGTAGAATGAAAGCTGGAAGCGATCGACGGCGTAGTAGGTAGGCTCCGGTAGGTCCTTGACAACGCCAACCAGGTCCTTGCCCAGGACGTCGAGACCACGCTCAATGATATCCGAGAGTGGCGCGTTACCAAAGTGAGCAACTCTACCGCCCTTTGCGCGCACGCGATCGGTGAGCCACAATACGCGGCGCTCAAGCTCAGCCTTGCCAACGCCTCTCCCTCTCAAGGTAAGCAGAACGGTACCAATCAGGGCTGTTGGCATGACCACGGAGACATCATTGATGTCAGAGAGGACCTTGTAACCCAGGATTCGGAGGAGCCTCTGGCGGATGGCCGTGTTTTCGGGGTCGTTTACGTCCAGGTTAAGGCTTCTCGGTAGCCTAGACACCTTTGTGAGCTGCTCGTTGATGAAGCCGCGCAAGCTCCAAGGCTCGTGGAACCGGACGTCGACTCTACCGAGCCTCAGTGACAAGACTGACGACCCACCAGAGAGAAAATCCGCCAAGTTCTCCTTCTTCTTGGGCACACCCAACAGTTCTGTCACGTATCCTTCCGTTTCGATGACCTTGTCGTATTGTGTGCTGACAGGGCAGATGATGGCGTCCTCTACGCGGCCCGACAGGATGCTATCCAGGATAAAGCTAAGAATGCCGAACTTGGGCGGCAGCAGCTTTCCCGTTCTCGACCGACCGCCCTCGATGAAGCACTCGAAGTTGTATCCGCCCTGCAGGAGGGTGTCGATGTAGGTCTGTACCAAGGTTGTGTACAAGATATCGTCGCCGAAGGATCTCCGTATCCACATGGCGCCAGCATGCTGCAAGAAGCTTCCAACGAGAGGGAAGTTGAGGTTGTCTCCCGCCACGACAACAGGCAGACCCAGCCCAAGGCGGTAGCAGATGAGCTGAAGCGAGACGTAGTCGACGTGTGACCGATGGCAGGGCAGGAAGATAATGCTCTGCTTCTTCTTCTCTGCCTCCTCGGCGACCTTGCGCAGCCTCAAAACCTCTTCGCTGGATACGTGGATGCCTTGGTTATAGGCCCGCAACAGCAGCTGCGTGGTGATGTAGTATGCGCTCCGGATAAACGTCTTGCTCTCGAACTTGCAAATCATATCGTCCGTCATCTTTTCCGCCACCTCTTGAATTCCAGTTTCAATAACTGCCCGTCTGCGCGCACGCTTCAGGTCAAAGTCCTTGTCTTGTTTGTTCAACAAGCCTTCCTTCTCTTCAACAGCGACGCGCTTCTCGGCTAGGTCAGCGATGCGTTCCTGCAGCAGTTTTGCCGACAGGACAGCTTCCTTCATCTTGTCGGAGAAGCCGGGGTAGAAAATGGGTTGACCGATGGCATTGTCGTAAGCGCGCCAGCCGGTACCGGAGACGTAGAGCGAGACTTCTCGGAGGAACCTGGCGCAGGGGAAAATAAGTTAGTCTCGTTCCTGGATCGACATGGAGGCTGAGACCGGAGGAAGAGCCGACGTGCAGGCGGTACATACTGTAGCGGCTCGGAACGGAAGCGGGCCATGTGCTTCATTAGAGCCTCCTCCTTCTCATCATGGCGTGGCTGGGATGGCTTGACATAGCCGCTAGGTTGGAGGGTGATTTGATCGCCAAGGATCTTCAGATCCGGCGCGGAGTCGTCGTTCTTTGCCATTGTCGATTGGCGAAGAATCGGGGCAAACAACGGCGCGCCGAGGTTAGGTAGCCAAAGGTATTGCTGGAGTAAATGGGGCAGGTCAGGTCGCGCGTTGGGATCTGCCGTTCTTCGAGGTTTCGGGGCGGGAATACTATGGGTGTTGGTGTCTGTCCTGCTGTAGGTAGATAGATAGTCGGAAGCAGTCCGTCAAAGGTCCTTTGCCATTGCCGACAGTGGGAGAGCGCAAGAGAAAGCAAGGGCAGGCAAACTCGGGCTTAGTTTCTCAGGGGTCCAAAAGTTGCAGATGACGTTGGAGAAGTGACGGACTCTGTGGGGGAGGGGGTGAGAGAGGGAGAGAGAGAGATAGAGAGAAGAGAGTAGGTATGTAGGGGATGCGCCGGACTGTTTTCCTCAGCCGCCAAAAGAAGCCGAGTCGCATTGTCATTGCCCGCCTGGGTGGACCGTGAAGGTCAAGTGCCACTCTTCAGAGGAGGTCCAGGCTCTCTCTCTCTTCCCCGTCAAGCCGCGGCTTCGGCATGTGAATAAACGCCATGCATCCCTGCAGCCGCCACCACTTGCTGCTACTTACGGATACAGATACTGTATTGACTCCTACAGGCAGTTGGCACCACTATCAACGCTTAGCGAGAGCCAAAGAGTACGTACCTTTGACGCCCCACCAGCAACCTGGAACCTGGAGGCACTAACATTTAATTTCCCAAAAGTCCATCCATCTCCAACATTTGACTCTGTGACTCGCTGCTGTCTTGCGCCGCACCGAAACTCACGGCGGCGACTTCTTTCACGCGCAAATACACTCGGTCCCAGAAAGAAACTTGTCGATATGGCGCCCTCGAACCAGCCCGTGACGCAGGCGCTCCTCGCGCGAGCGCATTCTCCCGACACCGTCAACCGCATCTTCTCCGACAAAATCCAGTACCGACCGCTCTACCTCAGACCAAGCTCGCCACCGCCGCCGTCCAACGCCCGGAACGCCCGACGCAAGGCTCGTGAGGAAGCCAAGAAGAAGCAAAAGCTCAAGCCGAAGCCCCTGTCCGCGCGCGAGCGACACAGGCGCGGCCTCTACCAAGTGCCCCGCCAAGGCCAGAAATACGCCGTCTTCGAGCCCCTCCACCGCCTGTGGCTGGGATACATCGAGGAGATCCTGGGCTCCGAGTTGTACCACGGCGGCGCCGCTGCTGCCGCGAAGCTGAGTGCTGCCGAGTTCCACGGCGCTGCTGTCGAGGTCTCCCGGAGCTCCTGCCCGAGCAGAGTCGGCATCAAGGGCATTGTGATAAAGGACGGCAAGTTTGCGTTCGAGGTCATCACGCCTAAGAACGAGATCAAGATTGTGCCAAAGGAGGGAACGTGGTTCAAGTTCGAGATTCCAGTCAAGGCGCCACTCGCGGAGGCGTCGACGACCCCAGAAGCCTCCCCTCGACGCTTCGTCTTCGAGGTCCTTGGCGACCAGTTCCTCACCCGCGGCGCGGACCGGGCCAACAAGAAGTTCAAGAACCACTATCTGAAGAATCTTTAAAGGATAAATTTTTCTGGGGTATAACTTATTCGAACTAGCCAAAGGCTGCATCGCTTACTCCGCGTCTGGCCCGGAAGTTGCCCGCTGGTATGGGTGGCAATCGGTTTGGGTTTTGTGCAGACCATCACCTACAGGCGAGGAAAGATGCGCAAGAGGCTTATTACTCGGAGCTTGTGAGAGCCTTGTCATGACGCGGATGACGCTTCTAAAATGTTACCTCGGACCGACGATTGGCTGCTCTTCTGGAAGGAGGGCTTCGAGGACAATGACTTGACTCGTCTCCGTAGTGGAGTGGGTGCCTTGGAATGCACACAGCACACAGCACAGCAGTACACGGCAGCCGCCCGTTTGTGCACGACGTACAAAGGCCTTTACACTAGGGCCCCTCAACTGAGCCGAGGTTGAGGGAGGGTTGAGGTCACTTGGGGAGGCTCGAGAGCATGAACACCGTTGCTGTAGCAGCATTACGGCCTCGGCTGCATGCTCTTGTTTTTGCAGAAATTAACGATTAGTCGAGACTTTCAGGACGGGAGAGGCAAGCAGTGGACCCGGACTCTACACAAGTTGAGCCTGCGTGATTCAACAATACCGTTTTCCACTCGTGCTTGTAGCTCGGCAAAACATGCATGAGAGATACAGTCCAGAAGCCCGCTGCTTGCCAAGTCCAAAGAACAAATTTTTTATCTGCCTAAAATGAAAGAAGAAAAAAACAATAATAATAAGAGACGAGAGAGGCAGATGTAGGGCAATTGGCAGATGTCTGCAACGAGCCTGGGCTTTAACGAAACGACTGATGATTAGAGCAAGCATAGAAAGAACAAAAATTTTAACACTCGTATAGGTGGATTTTAACCACTGAAACTCCCCGAGGTGGGCTCGAACCACCAACCTCCAGATTAACAGTCTGACGCGCTAGCCAATTGTGCCATCGGGGATGAGATGCTTGCTTGATGACAGATTCCTGTGGATTGACTAATATCATGGTAGCATACGCGGGGCTTACAGGGATATATACTATGTGTATGATGGATCCACTCCACATCGCCCGATCACCCAAGTTGACTCTTTCCCTCCTACTCTGATATAAACATGGCGTGCGGTGGTGACGGCAGAGGATGGTTTACGCAACGCCATAATCTCCTTTTCTATTTCTCAAGGGTTGCGAAGGTGGGTGCTAGGAAAACAGCTTCTTTGTCCAGTGTTGCCTGCTCCGTGATGGGCGCTCTCAACGTCCATCCCGGCTACACTGAAGGCACATGCGTTTCTGCGAAAATATTGAGCCGTCTAACCATTAGAAGCATCAATTGTTTGGTTCTCTTTGGAGTGTGCATCAACCTACGCATGTTAGGGAGCGACAAATCGAAATCGCGGTTTATGGCTGAATCTTTCTCCCGAGGTAGTTCAGTCATCAGATCGGCGGCGCATCAAGGCGAGAGGATTCGGGGACCGGGACGGCCATAATGCACACGTCGGCCCTAGGGCAGCCGGATCATCTGAGCCGCCTCCCAAGGCGGATCATAGCTCACATATAGACAGAACGAGACAGACCTTCGCAGAACGGAATCGTATCACGTCACGGAAAGCGCGCCCGGTTACATAATGGTGGCTAGCTGCCTTAGCCAAAAAGCAACGCGACGCGTGCGATTACTGCCGATGACATCAGGACTCGATCAGTCCGGACCTCACGCGTGCCTGTTGAAATATTTACCCGGCGACCATCACTCCCCGGAAAAATCTCCATCAATCTTTCCAATCTCTGCTGTGCTTCTTTACCTCCTACACAACCTCAATTGACACCAGCTGAACTCATTTGACTGTGGCTGTTACCTATATCACCAGCTCACCTTAAAGCTACGCCATACCACCCCGCAACGCCACCATCATGGTTACCACGAGAAACAGGGAGCGCTCCAGCAGCTCTGGAGAAGCAAACGGGAAGACGAATGCTCCTGCCGCTGCCGGTGAGAAACACAGCATCGACAAGGATGCTGGCGCCGGATCTCGTGATACAAAGCGCGCGAAGAAGTCCGACGATAAAACCGCCCGCCAAACGACCTTGGAGGAGACGTTTGAGAAACATGATGACACACAGGCCAAAGAAACGGAAGGAGCATCAAAAGAGACAAAGCATGAAACTGATGCAGAGATGAAGGATGCCGAAGAGGACACCACAAAATCCTCTGAGCAGACCGAGGAACCAACGAAACAAGAGGAAGAGGCAATGGCCAAGAAGGTGGACGAGGTTGAGAAAACAGAGGAAGCAGAGAAAGAAGACAAGACCGAAGACCAACAAGATGTCGGAGAGAAGCACAAGACGGAAAAGACCACATCGAAGTTCGCCGACGGTGAGACTGCCGAGCGTCCCAATGAAAAGACGAAAATGCCTTCCAATGTACTCGAAAAGGGCATCATTTACTTCTTCTTCCGCGGCCGTGTCAACACCGAAAATACGGAGGACGTTGACGATATTGCCCGTACTTACATCATCCTTCGACCCGTGGGCATCGACTCTAAGCTAGGTGACGGCCCCATCGGTGATGCCGGAAACACTCGCGTGCTGGCCCTGCCCAAGAAGGTTCTCCCTGAGAGCGGCAGAGACCGCTTCATGGTGTTCGTTGAGAAGTCGGGGACTTCATTCAAAGAGCTAAAGGAGCAGTTCCTGTCGGGCGCGGACAACCAGACCAAGGCCGGCAAGTCTCATACGCCCGCTGCGACACCTGCTGGGGAGGGCGTCTATATGATCACGACGACCGGGCGCGAGACCCATCTCGCGTATATGCTGACTTTGCCCTCCGACTTGGGCGAGGTACAGCAAGAGCTAGGGATTAAAGAGAAGGGAAGCTTTATTCTGAGCACAAAGAACCCTTACAAGCCAGGCCCTGCGTATGCCAGCCTGCCAGATACTCCCGACTTTCCAGATAAGTAAGCGAATTCTCTGCAAGATATACCGAATCTACGCTAAGCATACTTCGACAGGATTAAGGACCAATTCCGTGACCTCCGCTGGATGCCGAGCAAGCCCGAGCACCTTGACTATGTTAATTCTCAGGTCCTTATGATTGGCGAATCCTCGGGCATTGACAAGGCCGTCGAACCCAAGCAGAAGGACGTCAAGGCCGGCAAGGACAAGCCGGGGGATGTTCTCCAGGAGATTGAGGACGAGGATACCAAGAGGATGGAGCACCTCTCTGGCGACGACTCGGCTTCCATCTTTGCTGATCTCCAAGCCCGTGCGAAAGATTACCCGCAACTTCAGACTACATTCTGATACCTTTGATGCCCTTCCGTTCGTGTTCGACACTAGGGCAGTACCCTATTACTTGGTTGTCAATATGATTGGCCTTTGAGACGCTCACGGACTTTAGTTAGGAACGTCACTTTCCGACAGGGCGTGTGGTAGCCCGAAGAAGGATTTTCGAGGGCAAGCTATTCATTGAAAGAAGTGAGAAAGGCCATGGTTTGACATGCTGACAACAATATTTGTACAATAGCTTCCCAGAAAGCTGCAACTCAACAACGTCGCGGTCTGTGTCCGACACATAAAGGCCCTCGCGGTTGCACGCCGACCTGTTAGTTAGGCTTCTTGGCCAATAAGCGCAGCTGCATCATTTCCTGTTTTCCGTGATGATCTCTTTCACAACATCCAGCTTGGTCAGCTTCTTGATGTATCCCTCGATCATGTTGCAAGGCATCGCGCAAGCCAGCCGGGACACGGTTGCGCTCTCACCCTTCCAGATGACGGCGGGCGGGCTCCGCCCCAGCAGCAGCGGCGCCACTTCAGCGGCCCATTGGCCCGCCGAAATGCCCACCGAGGTAAGGGCCTCCTGGCTCATGGCCTTCTTGACGACGTCCCGGGCCAGGGCGTAGATGGAGCCTTCCGGCAGCCTCTCGGCCATGGTGTTGACGTTGTTGTTGGCGACGATGTTGGACTTGACACCGGCCGTTTTGAGGTCGACGACGGCGATGCCGAAGGGAGCGAGCTCCATGCGCATCGTCTGGGAGAGCATGGCGAGGGCCGCCTTGGACGCGTTATAGACGCCCTGGAAGGGAAGTGCAGAGACGGACCCGACCGAGGTGTGGTTGACATTCAGAGGCCGGGACGGGCCGTCGCCGTCGCCGCCGAAGCTGCACCAAGCTTCCGACGGAGGCGTCCTCGTCGACTAGGCGGACCGGAGGAGCAGGGGCAGGAAGGCCTGCGTGACGGCGACGTGCGCCCAGACGTTCTGGTCGAAGAGGGCCCTTGCCGCATCGAGAGAGACGTCGGCGACGGGCATTGTGTAGCTGCCGGCCGCGTTGTTGACGAGCATGTCCAGGCCCTCGGCGCCGGCCAGAGAGTCGGAGACGGCGGCTACGGCAGAAGCAATAGAGGATGCCGAGGTGATGTCCAAAGAGATCGTCTGCATGCCCTGCGCGGCGAGCGCGGCGAGCTTGGACGGGTTCCGCGCCGTGGCGTAGACGCGGTGGCCCGCGTTGTGGAAGGCCGTGGCCAGGGAGGCACCTATCCCGCCGGGGGAGCACCCGGTGACTAGGATGTTGAGCCTCCTCGGGGACGACATTTTGTGGGTGTGTTTGTAGTTCTGGGGGTGAGCTGTGTTGACTTGGGGAATAGTGCTCGATGAAAGCGGTGGACGACGGGGATATTTTGTTCCTTTTGAGGCTACTATCCAAATTAGAGCTATGGAACAGATACAATTCGATTCCATCTCCTTTGCTTCCTCACATGATTTATTATACGTTTCAACACATCCATCATGTTGGCAGGGAGGCCCGCCAGGCTCGTCTCAAAAAACACCCTTGGGATACAAAGCGTGGATCCCGCTCATCCTCGTCACGGAGATAATCCAAGGAGCTTCGTAGCCCATCTTCGCTTTCCGCAATGAGTCCTGCGTGCGCGAGAGCGTATCCGCAGATTGGGCCCGGTTGGCGGTGCGGGACCCCCGTCTTGGGGCGGCGGACTTTGCGGACTTGTTGTGCGGGAGTGTTATTTCGGACCCGCCAAACCTAGTCGGCCACCGTCGGAGGGAATTCCTTTGACCAAAAACGGGACGGACTAGTTCAATAACTGGTCAAGCACAGCTCATTTCCGCCGTCCATTGTTGACGCATGTATGTGGATTCTATCCAGCGACCCGACTCATGTTGCATAGTCAAAGCAACAAAAACAAAGGAAAAAGACATGCAAAACCAGTTATTCGCTGGTCGTTGCCGAACTGACTACTATTCCGGGCCTTTACTGGCATCGTTTGGATGGACCTGGGACAGGCTTTGCGGTGATGACTTCAACAACCTAAAGCGGTGTGTGTTGGTCTTTGAAACTGAGGGAGCGGTGAATTGTGATGCCGAGTCCAAACCTTCTTCGACTGTGGATTGGACCCTTGGCTTAGTTTCAACGGTCTTTAACCTGATCCACCCCCATACTCATCAACCTTTCGGTCATTATAGTTCACCCGTTGTTGGGGGGGCGCAGAAGACTGCGGCATGAGCAACGGAGAAAAAAGACCATCTTAGGACGCGAGCGAATGATCGCAGGACGTAACGTCGTGGCCAAACCACTTATCCTTTGGATGAGGAAGCCTCCGTCAAACTGGTCACCAACGGCGCGTTCAGTTCCTATACTCACTGGGTCGCAGCTGGCACAAAGCCAGACGATGGCCGCCTGCCCCCTCTGTTGGAGGCTTTCAAGCAAATAGTCTGCGGTGAGTGATTCCCCGGGGAGGGTGCAACGTTGCAATACATGTACGACAAGCAGTTACGTGAGGAGGAGCTCCAGACATCAGTCGAGCTCGCGAGGGAGATTGCCCCTAGCGAAGACGAACTGGCAGCCCGAAGAAACGCCAAAATGATCATTCAACGGCTCGAGCGTACACCATCAGAACAGTTTGCTCGGATGGAGAGAGATGAGGGCAATGTCATTCAAGTAAACTGGAAGCAGATCGCCCACCTGCCTCTAGCCTGAGTCCGTCAGACTGCTGATGCTAAGCAACCTTGGGGCTTCGTCTTTTACAGGAGCAAGGAGGCCGAGCGGAAATACGGTCACATTTGGATGAAGCTTGGGGTGCAATCCAAGAGAACTCAGGCCTAACCCGTATCCTATCCTAGGAGAGCGTTTTCGCGAGTACGCATTGTTGCAATCTACTCACTGTACTGGTGACGAGTCTACTCTGAGGCGTCTTTGGACGACTACCTGGGCCACTGGTTCCATATCTGAATACTTGCCAGAAGACGACGCTCCGTGACGCCAAGTCGTTTATCCCTATCCTTGTCTCCCCTTCCTCTGACGGATTGCCAGTTCTAAGACTTCAGAAACTCACCACCATCCCTTAGCATCTTGCAAAACACCTTCATACCCCAGGACCTTTGGAGATATTCTGGCGGCCCGTCTGCTCAGATCTTCTGGGCTTGGGCATACGACGCCGACTGGGATCCTGCTTCCGTAAATGTTACTGTATGTGATGGAGAGGAATACCAAGGTCGCATCAGGGTGTCCATCTACTGCCTGGATGCCTGGTTCTGTGCTGGGCGTTAGGAGGGCGTCAGTCTCAGGGACGTGGCTCAAAACGCAGACTCATCGCTCCAAGTAATGGATCTGCTGCTCCAACCCGACGGAAAACTGGGATCACGAGTTGTATGCTTATTTAAGCTCATTCTGGGTAGTGATCCAGAGTATCATGAAAGCAATTTGTTTTTCCAAACTGTTAAGTACCACCAGAAACGTCAGACGGCTTCCGACAGGCTGGCACCACCATATAGTAGCGGGCTTACATATGGAAAGCGACTGCTGGAAACCGGGCCATGAAACGAGGGAAGGTTCCGTTGGAAGTCGTCGGAATTCAAACTGTGACGACCTTGAAAGCCGTCGAAAATGGAGATGCGAGCATAATACAGGAATGATATGGTGCCAAAAGAGCTTTGGGCTGCTACGTTTACTAGACGTTTTCCTTACTCGCGTACGATTCCTTAATGCCGTCATATGGCAATCCACATGGTGTTACAGTAGGTAATAAACTGCCGTACGGGAGCTAATTGGGAGCTGAAAAAAGGAGAATAAAAAGGGACGAAAGGAGCTTTGAAGTAAAACGATAATGAGCATGGTAGCAATTACAAATGAGAGTCCAAGTCACTAAGCTAGCATACTGTCTTTCCGAGTTTCACCGCTGGACGGTAGGTGTTATTGACTGTGATATAAACGAAACGTGCTTCGTCTGTAAGGCATACTTAACAAGTAAAAGTGCAGTCGACATCCTCTCCTCGATCGATAAGGGAACTGACTTACCTGTAGAGACGGCTACGCCTTTACTGCACTGCCCCATTCCACAGCCTCACGGTATTGATTGTGATTTGCCCGCTTAGAAGTTCTCCTGCATTGATGCCTAACACAGCCTGCTAGATTGTAGAAGTGTATCTTATTAATTTCGTCAGAAGGCAGGCTTTACCTTCTATTTCATTGGGACGAGGAACAAAAGCTTTTATTTGTTTGTTGACAAAACCTCTTACCAGCTACAGTAAGAACCACGACCTGCAAAATCTGGTCCAGCTAATAACAAGTAAAGCGGACTTGCTCACCTGCTTCCTACACATCATATTACGATGGACGATTGCTGCGATGAGCAGTTTCATGTCGCTTGGATTCTTCCCTCACCCTACCATCACAAGATCGCCACCTCTGTTTTTGACGAGACCTACTATCATGCTGTCCGTTCTGCATCCTCGAACGCGGTCTACACTACTGGCAGAGTTGGTCTGCATAGGGTCGTTGTGGCAAGCAGGAGCCCCGTAGCCGCGTCACCGAACACCGAAGACTTCATCAACGACTTATTGCATGACTTCCCAGCTGTTAGGGCAGGCTTCCTTGTGAGTACCGACGCCAAGGCATCTCAATCGGGGCGTGCACGTGTGGGCGACATCGTCTTCGGAACGACACCCGACTTGCAGAGTGGCACTATCTATTTCGATGCTAGACAAACGAAGGAACATGGACGACTCTTTATCAGCGGCCAAGCAAAGCATATTCCTGAATCTGTAACGTCAGCGCTCGAGGATTTCCTTGGCCAGAAACAACACGGCGAATGGCTTCAACACCTCAGCGAAGGCTACCCTCTTCATCACCGAACTTTTCGTGGTGCAATAGCGTCCTCCATTGAACATTTTGACGACCCTCTCGTTCTTGATCACATTGGATCTAAGCATGATATTCTATGCTTCGAGACGGCTGCAGCCAGCATGAGCTCTCATTCGTTCATACTCGCTGCGGGCATCGCCGGTTGCTCAGATAACCAGCAGGACTGTTTGCGATCTGCGCAAGTTTGTGAGGCTGTCGTGTACTATCTTTCCGGCCTTGTCCGTCTCATCAACCCCGTCAAACTTCATAAGGAACCGCCTTTGACCAACTATTTCCAGTACGAGTCCTTTGATCTGGATCGCCCAGGATTCCGACTAGTTAGGTTAGAGGCGGGATCGAGCCACGATCCAATCCGCTGCCACCTTTTCCAAGCTTATCTAGACGATAAGGAAACCATCATTCCATACGAAGCGTTGTCGTACTGCTGGGGCTCTAGCACTTCACTACGGCACACAATTCTGGTGAATGGAAGATTTCTCTTCATTACAGAGAATTTATTCGACGCCCTGAAAAACCTGAGACAACAAGTTGAAGACCGCATACTTTGGGTTGACGCTCTTTGTATCGACCAAAGCAATGTCCGAGAGCGCGGACACCAGGTCACATGGATGGGAAAGGTGTACGAGCACGCTGAACGAGTTTTGTTCTGGCTGGGGCATGTGCCATATAACTTCAGAGATCTGATTCTGTCACTCGTGACGTTCAAAAGAGAAGCCCCACGTGACGCGTGGGTGAGTTGGACCCTTGATGACCCTAGATGGTCAGATACGTGGGCCCAACTACAAACACAACATCTTTCGAGGTTTGATGAAGTTAACCTGCTATCAGACCTAAAATCATTGATGAGAAACGAGTGGTTCAGCCGCGTCTGGGTTCTGCAGGAGGTCGCCAATGCTCAAAAAGCTTTACTTGGCTGCAGTGAGGGCTGGGTTGACGCGATGGCCTTTGCAATGGCACCGAGACTTTTCGGCATGCAAGCAGACACCCAATGCCAAGCAGTCATCGATATAATGCCAGGTCCATCGAGGAGGACTTCTTGGTGGGCACAGAAGTCAAATATCTGTACCCTGTTATGGAGGTTCAGAGAAAGCCAAGCTAGCGATCCTCGGGATAGGTTATTTGCGCTTCTTGGTCTCGCTTCCGACATGAAAACTGGCGACGAGCGGATTGTCGCAGACTACACTCAAACCGAGGACGCCGTTTTGAGGAACATTACAACCTATTTGTTCAACGACAAAATCCACGATTTTAAGGTCGAAAGCCTTCCGGATTTGCAAATGAACATTCCAAATTTTGCTGCGATTACTCTAGAAAGAATGGTCTTTTCTGGATCCAACGTCGAGGATTTGCATTGTTACATGGAAAAACAAAACCATACCGTTTGGCTCTCGGAGGTTTTGGTCAACTACTCTTGGTTTAGACGGTCAGACCACTTTGATAACTTTCGAAACAGCTCTGCGTTTGATCAAGTCATTCTTGGGCAAATCCCTTCCACCGGCCCACCCAAAGATTCCACAACTTTGTATCAATTCTTGAAGAGACACAACGGGCGGATCAACTCTACAAAAGAAACGATTGAAGCGTTGAATCAAAGCGGTATCGACATGGTTGTACAAGTTCTTCGAAACAATCGACAGGACGTTGAAATTACGGAAACATTCGCTGTTGAGGCAACTCGGAAAGGTCCTTCCATACTGCAAGCCTTTCTTGACAGATATGACTCCAAAGTCTGGATTACGGAGGCTTTTGTCATTGCCGCTCTCCAGAACGGACCTGATACGGCTCAGGTCTTACTTAGTCAACGGGGCGGTGAGATCGAAATTACTGAGGCCATTGTTGATGCAGCAGTCCAAAGTGGGCATACTACATTTCAACATCTGCTGGAGGCAGTCATTTTCAGGACGAGTACTATAATAGACGCACTTCCGTATCCAACAGACCTGGATACATTGCGGCTAATACTTGAAATCGACATCAACTCAAGCCTTCTTGAGATTACACGACAGAAGGGTATAGACCTAGTTCGGATGGCCTTAGAGCAAAATGACAACAGTGCCAAGATAACAGACGCACTTACAAAGGAAGTAGCTCGAATAGGACCAGATACACTGCGAGGATGATGCGAAAGCTACTCTGTCTGGAATCCCACTACAGCCACGAACCAGTAAACTTTGTAAAGTGTAGCGGAATCGCACGAAAGGGGCACGACAAATAGCGTGGAAATAGCACTAGGCCGTATCAAGGCTGTGTGTTAGTCACACCATGCGGATAGATATCTTTGTGTATCGGAATCAGATGCTTCCATCTTCTCCACTTGGTATTGCTCACCATCATGCACGTCCCATCCGCTGCAGGGGCCCAGCCATGGCTGCACTCCACCAAGTCTCGTCATGGTCGGATTGGAGATGCATTGTTGTGATTATCATAGAGCTGTAACTAACCATGTGATTGAGTATTATGTATTTTCCAAAGGCGCGGGGGGGGGGGGGGGGGGGGTGATAGATCAGGACCTTATCAAATGAGATATCTACGATGCTAGTAATGAATCCCTCATTTCAATCGCCACATTATGTCTTACGGCGGAATTGATCTGAATGTAGCGGCGGTAGGCCGTTTCATCTCTAAGAACAAGCTCGCCGGAAGAGGCATTGCTATTATCTTCTCCATCAACTGTAGGACCAATACATGCCCTGAAACGCATGTGCGTGAATTTTTCCATCAGTAATCTAACGAGATCACCACAGGGAAAATAGTCAGTGAATCAAGCCTAGTGTGACCATGGCTGCATGTCTCTTAGTAAGTGCAATCTGAAGCCACTGGATGTGTGGAGTTTTGATCCTCCTTTCCAGGAGCTGAGATACGCCATCAAGTTCCTTCGTTTTCGCTTTGAATCCTACAGATGGGGATTGTCCAAGACTGAGTCTAGCAGCTATGAAGATTGTGAAATAGGGTAGACATATCTAAAAAAAGACACCAGCGATGCGACTGGGCCTGGGCACTACTGGGAGAGATGATATACAACACTCGACCTCAACATAGTCCTGATTCTATCGATTAAGAGTTAACAGGTATGTTAAGTTACATAAGGAGTGTCTAGTCTTACGAATGACCCAGTGTTATACATAGACGCTCTGGTCATAGGTGTGTAAATCATGTACATAGGAGTATAAGAAGCATCCTACTTTGATAGTGTGAGATAGAACTAAGCTTGTGCAAATTTAGCGTTAGATGCTCGGAATGTTACCAATAAAAACTAACATGCTTACTGAGGACCACAAGCCTATCCCAACTGCGGTAAACAGGAGACGGTCATGTCAAGAGCCGAAAGAAACATAAATAAGAGCCATAACCTCAGCTTTCGACGCCAATTGATATATCCTTCCAAGTGGCTACGTGTAAAAAAAGCCACCGAGGACTCGCACTCGCACTGCTCAAGATGATCCTCTTCCTTCCCTTCCTTGCTACTCTTTATGGTCTTGCTACCGCAGCCACACTGCCCGCAACGACCCTCAATGTTCCGCATCGCCTCATTCACCAGTTTAACAATGGCTTCTGGGCGGAAAACATCGCCGTACGCTCCAATGGGAAACTATTGATCACCATGATCGCCCCGTACCCGCAGGTATACCAATTGGATCCGCTCTTGCCCAATCCAGTCCCAGAACTGATTGCTACCTTTCCCAACCACCTCGCAGCTCTCGGGATAGATGAAATCAAGCCCGACGTCTTTGCTGTCGTGGCCAACAATTTCACGTTCTCGACTGGCGCAAGCACCCCTGGGTCGAACACTCTCTATTGTTTGGACATGCGAACCTACGACACGGATGGGAGTCTCAACCTTTCGGTGCTTGCTGGCATTCCTGATGCTGTGTTTCTCAACGGACTCACTACTATCAAAGGCGGAGCCGGAGGCAAGGTCCTCATAGCAGACTCGTTCACAGGCCAGATCTTTGAGGTCGATGTCAAGAACGGAGCCTCCAAGGTCTGGATTGACGACCCCATCCTGGACTTTCCTGCAGATGCGAGTATCAAAATCGGCGTGAACGGAGTGCGTTATCGCCCAGAAGACGGCTTCGTATACTTCAGCGTTCTCTCGCGGGGCACCATGGCTAGAGTTCGTTATTCGCCGAACGGGAACAGGGAGGACAATAACGACGCAAAGTCGATACAGGTCCTGGCAGAGTCGAACATACCGCTCGACGATTTCATTGTGGCTCCTAATGGAGATATATATGCCACCGGAGGATCTGACAACGTGTTGTATGTGGTCAGAGCAGGCAGTGGACGTCTGACTCCGTTTTTTGGGGCGTCTGATTTTTTGGCGCTTGCGGGTCCTACTGCAGCTAGATTTGGCAGGACGAAGCTCGATCGCCACATTATCTATGTCACTACCAATGGAGGCGTTGCAGGTCCTGTCAACGGAACCATCACTGAACCGGGCAAGGTTGTCGCTATCGACACTGGAAGACTCTAGAGACTCTAGCTAGGGCTCAGCCTTTTAGTGGGACAGACTATTGGAGAGATACGACTTGTTTTGGCCAAGGAGATGAATTGAGTAAACATTGACGTCGTGCCATATGGCAACGCGTAAATCTCCATCAGCCTAGCATTACACCTGTACAAGGATAATTTCAGAAGAATACCTTACTAGTAACTTTCTTTCTTGAAAACTCTATTAAATCATTTATTTCCAATGATCATTATTCATTTGAACCAACCAGTATCACGAGGCCAAGTTCGGCTTTTTAGCCTATGGTTACTAGTAAAGCGTTGAGTATGTTGCACCCATGTTCATCATGAATGTACATGTACGTATAATCTGCAAAGGATCAATTTCATCCCGATATAGAGAGAGTAAACTGAGTGTGGCTTTGCATATCTCATTTTGCTGTTTGATCCAAACCTGGCAGCTACCAGTGGAATAACAGCACTGTTATTCGCGCCCGTACTCCTTCCATTGAAGGGAGCTAGGAAGTCTCTTGTCAATAAACATGCATTGATAACAAAGCTGAGCCGCTCAACTAGACCTGGCTTGAACGTTTTGACACAATCATCTACAAGCATCTGAAGGTCCGATCAAGGGTCGAAGGATGCGAACTGCCTTCCATATGACAGTTGAATCAAAACAGCATTGGCTTACTTGCCAGCAAATATCTTGCCCAGATTCACGAGCTCATTCCACCGCTTGTCCTGACGAATCTCGATGTTTCCTTCAGGAGTCATGACCTTCATTTCTTGAGCCGACTTTGTTCCGAATTCGTAATTTTCCCCGTTGTTCATGAAAGCCACTAGGATTCTAATCCAGTCCTTCATCAGGACTTCCTCAATTAGGGTTGGACCATGACAAATTGCGAAGCTAAGAAAGAGCGCCACGCTGTCAGCAATGTTGATCATTGAGGAATACTAAAAAGAAAATGAGACTCACTTCCAAATGGGCCTATCCATGGCATGAGATACTCCAAAAGATGCCGGAGCAACTTTTTCATCAATGAAGGACAGTCTGTAAGCAATCTGGTACCGCCACACATCTTCCATGTTGACACCGTTGTCCACTAGTGCTTTGACAAGCAGCCTGGAGGGTGCGCGCACCTGTCCATCTGCAGTTATCAAACCTGCGTCTTTTGGTCAGCAATCGGGCTGTTGTCTGACGATGTCTTGCTGTGTCTTACCAAATATGTTTTGCCAGTCCTCTAAATTGCTTGAATTTGGAAGTGTATACTGCTGAATGGCGCGGTCCGTAACATCTGGTGCATAGTAGTTTGATATCTGCAGCCGAAGAGCATCGAGGGTCGGCTCGGTCGGGGGGTTGTAGGACGCGTATAGCGTTTCTTCGTTAAGCACCTCGCCAATGAGAATCTTATATTTTCTCTTCTTGAACTCATCCGCGAATTCCTTGCTTTGTAGATACTCTACCATGCCAGAGTGGATAAAAATGTCATCCGTCACTGGCCGGAAGGTATGGTTTTTGAGGTGAGGGATCGCCCCCAGAAGGTCTTGCACGCTCTTTTCCCGTAGGATTGCCAATTTTTGATTGTTTGGAACACTTGTGTCAATCTCAAAATGGTTGCACAGCTCGTCAAACTGGCCTTGCACCTCAGCGAGAGACTTTGGTTGGGCGGGAATGGCGTTGGAGTCCATGAAAATGCGACTGTACAAAGAGGAACTGTCTCCAGGCTTGCGGAAATCGTACAACATCTGAGCCTCGGCGCTGTAGGCACCAGCACTTCGGCCGGCGAGGGTGATGTTTCCTGGGTCTCCCCCAAAATAGGTGATGTTATCTCTTACCCATTCTGCAGCAGCTCGTTGGTCCCACAAACCGAAGTTGCCGCCCGCTTCGCCGTTGTTGTCGTCCAGGAGAGCATCTCCGGCAAGAAACCCAAAGATGTTGAGACGGTATCCGATGGCTACAACAATTGAGTTCAGCCCGCCCGTGGTGATCAGCTCCGTCGCATCCATCCCTGGTTCGTGCGAGGGATCACCTATCTGGAACCAGCCCCCGTGGATCCAAAGCTGTACAGGCCATTTTTTGTTCTCCTCGCCCTCTGCTGGCACCGGAGTCCATATGTTGACAAACAAACAGTCCTCACTGTAAACATTTTTTCCACCATCAGGCTTCACGACGCTCCAGACCTTCTGGGGGCAAACTGCTCGAAACTTTGTCGCATCGTAGGCGCCTCCACTGGCATCGGCGTAAGTGTAATCGGCGGGCAATGGTCGCGCTTTGCGCCACCTGTGTTCTCCAGTAGGCGGTAGGGCGTAGGGGACTCCAGTGAAGCGACGGGACTTCTTGTCGAGTTGGAGACCACGAATCGTGCCTCGGTTGCCCAAGCTGAGCTCAACTGGCGTCTCTTGATACGAAATATTGTTGCCCATTGCAGTTGTTTCTTTTGTGATTGGAATTCCGCTGCGCAAGGTTACGTGACCAAGGTGTTGTCGCAATTACATCTGTCTGAATTGAGGTGCCGTGGAGGTGTTTGGATATGTGGTCCGAGATCTGTTCCGGAGCGGGGCCGATAACGGCCTGTCTTATCATTGTCCGGCGTTTCCCGGTTTAGATCGGATGCCAAGCCGGCCAACCCAGCATAGGCTGTTCTACTACGCTTCTTGAGCTTCAAGAAGACAATGAGTGAACTTCAATTTGCCAAGGGTCACGATATGTTTGTGGGAGGAGTTGAAGACCCTTGTCGACGGCGGATCATGGTGAACGCGTCTGGCATGTTAGGTTTTCATGGAGACTTTCCACAGGGCTGAGCGCATAAGTTATCAGAAAACACGGCTTAATGGGCCTGGCAACGATTCCGGATCCAGATAATGGCCAGAGAAACATTCGTGTCAACGTTAATAAGCCGTAGAGCCTCCATATGCTCCAGCTGCCTTTTGAGGTCAATGCGAACAGACGAAGTCTCAATGTCAACCTCATAATGCCAGGTGAAGGCAACATTTTGTGTTCGGTGAAATTGCCTCTCGCCAGGATAGGGAAACGTGAAGAAGTCGCTTCTCTTGCGGGCTTCTGGTTAGGAACGAGCCAGAATAGATTTTGGTCTCTTCTATGTTCGTTGGCGAATGATGCATCGCTTTAGGGGGCTGCCAGCATGTTAGTTTTCCGAGCTTTCACTAGTATTAGCGTTTAAGGCAGAAATTACATAGCAGGTTTGTGGTATAATAATTAAGTGTACTCTATCATATAGCTCTGCAGAGTGTCAATTGTATCTATCTACTTCGCGTTGCATTGAATTGCTGGAAATATCAATGAGATGTCCGGGTAGGTAGTGGCTATTCCAAGCAAGATATATACCCCGCAGAGCAATCCGAAGGGCCAGTCTCTACTCTAAGCCCTGGTGTTGTCTCCTCCATCTACTGGTATGACATCCACAGGCCCATTCACTGTCTTTGGACTTTCAAATGGAGCCATACCCTTCTTGACGGCAACGTTGTCCTCAAATGTCCCATAAATGTCAAACTGGTCTTGGTAGCCGAGTCGTGGTGGCTTGAAAGCAAAGGTCAAAATTGCGTAGAGTGTCCCAGCCTCCAGAAACCCAAAAATGTAGTTCCCAAGGTAATATTTGTAGAGCCCATCATTGACCGTGACACTGGGTTTAACTGCCGCAACCATCCCCGGCATGGCCGGAACGAAACAGACAACCCATGCAACGAATGCTCTCCAATTGAAGCCGCAATAGTACCAATAAGCACCGTCTTTTGAGCCAGTGTACAGCTGGCTGACTTCGATCTTTTGACGGCGGATAACGAAGTAGTCGGTCATCATGATGCCTGTCAACGGCCCCATAAAAACAGAAAAGCTGGCTGCCACAGCTACAAAAACGCTCGCGGTATTGTAGAACTCCCATGGCTGAACTGCCCACGAGAGTGCAGCTGCCAAAAGCGCACCGCGTTTGATAGCGATCCAAGTTGGGACAAGACCTGCGAGATCCATGCCAGCAGCATATCCGTTGCCGAGAATGTTTTCAGCAATCTGGCCGAGGACAAAACCTAGACTGCAAAAGAAAGCGCCGGCTCGGGACTTTGAGTTGTAATCATCCATCATCCACTGTGTGATGACCGTCAACGGGTTCCACATCGGTTCCTCCAACTTCCAAATTGCCATTGAGGCAGAGGCTGTTAAGATCGCGAAAATGGGGACGATCATTCCAGGAATAAAAAGCGAAAAGACGATACCGGGAACTTGGATACCCTGTCTGCGCGCAAAACGGGTAAAGTCACTCTGATTGAGAATGCCGGCAGAAATGTTGCCCACTGAAGCAATGATGCCGTAAACCCAAGCCCATTCCTTGCTGAGCACGGAATCCTGTTTTGCCCCTGACTCGAATAGGGGACCCGTGCCGCCAGTCTTGCATGCCCAAATCGTGATGCCCATCATGGTGACGAAAACGATCAGATTGGCAATAATGACTGGTACTTTCGCTTTCTCAACCCTGATCAACTATTCGAAAAGTTTGATCAGTATATGGGCTTAATATGTGTAGGTGGAGCGGACAGATGACACCTGGGCTAGCTTACAAGGAAGGGGACTGAAACGAGGTGGAAAATAACAAAGCCCACTAGGTCTTTGGTCACCATATGAGCGCTCTCTGGAAGCGTGTTACGCATCATCAGAAATTCGTAGCTCCAGCTGCTGAGCATTGCGGAGATACAGAGGCCGCCTAGCCATGCCTGAGACCCGTACCATACAATTGAAAGCAAAATCCGGATCAGCTGCCCGATGTAGGCGCCATTCATACCAAGAATAACCCTGGGTCTGGCTGTTAGTTCAATTCCATCTAGCATCATACAGAACCCGGTGGTTGAATTTATCAGTTACCTTTGAGAGACAGTGAAGCCAATATGCCACTCCGATCCCATCCATCCATTTCCAATGACAAGCAGGCAGATAAGTACCCTGGCAATTATCATAAGGCCGATGGTCTGTGGAATGGTGAGACCCAGAGACAAGAGAGACGCCGCGCCGGTCCAAGCTGAGATACAGAGACTGGACACCAGATCAGCTGCTGTTGGCCGCGTGCTTATATACAACCCCGAACCTATACTTACTTGGAGATGGACCCGAACCCGAGGAAAGCCCACAGGCCCCATGTACGCCGGCTCGGGGGGAGAGGGGCTATATCAGGATTGATCCATTTTGTTGTCTCGTAGCCGTGTTCTGTATCATCATGAACCCGAAACCTTTCGAGAAGCCTTCTGGCCATCGTGCCCTGTTATTGAAGATAACGGGATGAGGTTTACTATCTAAGTGGTATCAACAACCACCGTGCAGGAGATAATACGAATGTATATCCAATAAACCACTATCGTCGAATACACCTGAGGCTATTGCTAAATCGTTGAGAAACTAGATCTACAACAGGTGGAACTATGCCATGCGACCATGAGAAAACCGCGTAAACAGTCATTTGAAGAGCAGACTCGGCTATTAAGTCAAGCGCATACCCCTCAATCTCTCTCTCTCTTACTCTCTCTCTCTCTCTCTCGCACACACACACGTACGGGCAATTGGACTGGTCTGCCGGGAGCTTATCAGACGGTGGTGGAACTACATATGCACGACAGCCTTATCAGATTTATCAATCCCTGAACAGTTCCTGGAGTCTGCAGGCAGTTCCCATCGAACACAATCCGATTCACTCCGAAGTCGCATCATACCCCGCACTTGATTCAAGTAATTTGTGTTCACCAACCTCGGGCTTATGACTGTGGGAATAGCCCCCTTGAGGAGGAAAACCCGCTGACGGTTAAAATCACTTGGACCTCCAGTAGGCTGGTTAATGGGTTCGCAGAGAGATTGGGAAAATCTGAGCGTACCGTATACTCCGAGGAAATCCGGCTTCCACTGTTATTTAAGTTGACCTATTGAATGCTTCTGCCAGCACTAACATTCCGTTTAGACCGAAACGGTAGGCTGTATTCACCAACCGCTTTACCCTTTGCCGTTAGCCTATACGAAAGTAGAGGCCGGATTTACCTAGTGTGTACGATACCTGTATGTACTTCATGCAACCTGCCCACCTGTTATCAGATCACCGGTGTTTACAGTACGGAGTTTCACCACTTTATATAGAGATAGCTTGTTATGATAGCGTAGATAACCAGCATCGGCGCCACAACGTGGGAGTTATGCTAAGATTATGATCCCGAGCCAGGGGTTCCAACAGTCGCACCGACCTTATGGTCAATCCACAAGAATACGGGCTAGCGGAGAAGCCTTTTTTAACTTCTCATTTTCCTTTATCCTGAGCAGCCGTCTGGTTCGAAATCATGTTCCTCAGGCTGATGGTTTGGCCTCTATGTAGGCTTCGAAATCATATTGGCAAACATTCTTCCGGAAATGTCTGCGCTAGAATCATCCAACTCCAGTTCCTTCGTGTTTCTCTTTCCAAACCCTTCCTTGGACGAATTTTTCTGTTCGTTACTGTCTTTCGATGCGAACCTATTGCGTCAAAAACCTCAAGAGCTGCAGCTCTGTCATTTGCATCCAAAATTTCGCAGGCAGCCATGAAGACCGACCAGATTAACATCTTGGACTATGATGGAGGCCCGCTTGTGTAGAGCATGACTTCATGGGCTTCATTGAGTGCTTCGGCATCTACTTCCAAGGACGTAAATGGTGGTTGGAACAGCCGATGCCGACACAAGAAAGCTCCGGCACGGTGGCAAGCAGCTTGAGCACGAAACTTACTTACGTGATGACCGATACGGATGCTTGCTGGATATTGTGGGCTTCCATGACTCCAGACGCATACGGATGGGTTCTGATCGAAATAGAAGATCCGAACACCAACTGTTCGACCAGTTATTGGTACCTGCAGGCACGGAAGATGTCTCTTCGTGGCTCGGTTTTCGAGTACTGCTATCCAAGAAAGCATTTGATAACGGTAGTTGCAGAGTTTGTCCCCAAACATCTTCAGCCAAGGCACAAAGCTCTTCTAGTAACAGCATGAGGCCAAAACTATAGCCCATTAGCCGGCCGGGCTTAGTTAGCTCATCCTCAAGACAGATGTGGCTCGAAATTCCGAGTCGATGAAGCTGGACCAGTGAAACGGTAAGACCCTGTCTTGCCAATGCTCCGAGGTAATACCTCGCCACAGAAGATATCTCTGCCCTTGTTGACACTTGGTGACTGATAAGGGAAGCCACGTTGGACAAGACATTATGGATAGTCGCATGATGCTCGGGCTGTGCAAGAGCGAGCTGGGACCAGTCAGCATGCAGTCCATAGCGCCATCTCACGCAAGTTTAGCCAGGTCAAGGAGAAACGGCCCTCACGGGAAGGCTAACCTCCATGGCACATAGGCCCAGAGGCAGAAAGAGGGCTTTTTCGAAATAGTGACATGATGTGTTTATGTTCCTCAAGTTGGCAAGTATCTTCGCTCTCCGATTGAGCACAGGCAAGAGTGCATCGGACTCGTGGCTGATGCGTCTCCCGCCCCGACGGACTTGGCCGTCGGGAGAACGCTTAGAGACTTTAGTAATGGCCCTGGCGCTGGTTTTCCGCCGCTGAGGCTTTACTCACCCCATCGATGTCAGCGAACGATGGATATGACTGCCGAAAGTGTTGCGCCGCCTGTGTCTTGTGTCCCTAAAAGACGAATCTGCGTCGCGCACAAGTCCCGCACGAGGGGCGGAGCTCGTCGCACTTGACCTTAGCTTTCCGGTAGTCGATGCAGCCATTACGCGAGCGTTTTATAGGGGTTATCAACCGCGGCATCTGACCAGAGTCTATAAAGGCTGAACAACACGCAATCCTGATTGACTGCTGACAAGCGATTCTATCACCTCCCTTCGGCGGTTGTGGATAGAGTTGTGGTAGGACACGCTTTCGTTGTCACGTCCCCCCCTCCTCAGAAGCGCGCGATGTATTCCTACAGTCGTGCTTTTCCAACTGGGCGCCCTATTTTGGGCTAAGACAGACAAGAGTATACGTACTCTGGATAATGGTTCGTGGTAACCGATGATATGTTTAATCTTATCAGATCATCTCCGTACAGACTGGCCCACGAACTGCAGCGGTTGACCAATCTTATTGGCGAGGGTGGCCACTTGCGGCGACATACCAAAGCACACGTACAGGCAAGATCCCGGCCTGTTCGTCTGTTCTTCCTCTATCTTTGGCAGGGCTGGTCCCTGGATATCAATGCAACCAAAATCCTTATTGAACATTCGCAATAGCCTTACAATCATACAAGACCCGGAGAATTTTGCAACATGCTCTGCAATACCCGGGCATCTTTACATGAGTATTCTGGGGGATATGATTTATATGCGTCCGTTTCGGTACTATCCAGTGTCAGCACAGCGCGAGTGTTCTATGACGGCCAGCCGCTCATCCTAAAGTTTCGGTGCGCCTTAACCCCTAATACTATGCGCTTGTTGGCGTACAACTACCGGAACGTCAGCCCCGTGAACCTGGTTAGGAGACAATGCCGAAATAGTCTAGCAGCTTTGAAAATTCCTACTAAATACAATTACAACTATCGACTGTGATTAAAGCTCGAAACGACAATGACGACGAAAGCCAGTACTCCTTCTCGATCTGATGACCCAGAGAGCAAGGCTTCCGCGACAAACTTTGCGTAACAGTCGCAATTGATTTTAAGAGATTGATGAATCGGTGTTTTGATTACTTTCGCATCGATTAATACTCGGCTGGGCACATGGTGGAACCAAATACCAACTCCTCAGAGAAACATCAAGCATCACCGGGCGAAGGAATCCCCACAGATCTTCTGACTCAAATCCCCAACCAAAGGGTCTTGTGCAGTTCAGCGCGGTGATAGGTGAGCGGCGTATGATCCAGGCTTGGGTTTCCATTTACTAAGATCCGAATCCGGGTCAGATCCGCGTGGTGGAAAGGCAGAAACGCCTAGATTCCTGGTTTTTCGAATATTTTGTTGTAGTACTGACAGCTTGCCTCACGCTTCATGCTTCTGGCTCCGCGGACGGCCGAGTAAGACATACGGTGGGAAACAGCGTGGTCGTGGCTGATCTTGCCATTTCCCCTTGGCACCAAAACCGATGACATCAACGTAGATCCTCTGGTCTTGTTATGGCGCTAATGCCCTCATAGCCATCGCGCCCACACCACTGGGCAAACAGGCAGCCAAGTCGTTGAAGGAGGACAGCCACTCATATTGCCCGACTGGGATGGGCTCTGCTTACGCTGTGCCGCAGGCGATGTCATTGGGGATGTGCTGGTCCGTTTTGATGTGAGCAAGTGGAATCCTGTCATAAGAATCTCTCGCAATTACTATGGTGAGCTAGCAATGACGCTCTTGTGCGTACCTCACGCTCGAGGCGGTAGCCTGTCGATAAAACCCTTCCATCTTGAGCAAATTATACAATCTTCGTTTCTCCTCGTTATTATATTGTGCTCATTACCTTCACTTCAGATAAGTTTCATTACACAATACATACCGACAGTAATACACCGTTCTACTTCAATCCCACCACCCGAACAAAACAACTCACTATGCCAGCCGTACACATTAACACGGCCAATGTTGCCCGCGAGATAGCGGGCCTTGTTACCAGGGCCACTTCATCCAGCTTTGGTAGTGCCTCCAAATCGGCTCACAAGACGGCGCGAGTCATCGGTGGAGGCATCATCGCAGCGATTGTCATCGGCGCAGTCATCTTCATTGCCTTAATGCTTGTTTGCGCCTTCCTGGTCTTCCGTCGCAACAAGAAACAGAGTGCAAGACGCCAGCAGGAAATGGAAAAGTACTACGGCAACAACCGATCACGTAGCGGCACCGATGTACCAGCTGGCCCAGCTCCGGGCCAAGAAGGCTTCGGAAACCCCAATAAAGGCTATGGCTATGGCCAAGGCACCGGCTACGGCTACGCGCACACTGCCCAGCCTGGTCAGGCTGGCTATGGTGCGCAAAACACTGGAGGTGTATCTCCTATGGCACCTGCGCACACTGCGGACCATGTTACCTACACAAAGTAATTGGGTGATGGCTTGCGACTTATTCTTCGGTTTGGAGACACAAGTATTGATGGGAAAGTGGGAGTTATGTTTTCAACCAGCGTGCCCAGCGTGGGTTCATATGTTATGCCGATAACTGTATGCGAAAGTGCGATACCTTGGGTTAATATCATGATAACAATTGAAGCTTTCATTATGATGATGTATAAACCATGTGAACTTCTGGACATTGTGATACTCCATGTCAAAGGGCATGGCCAGTAGCATATAGCCAGCCTACAGTACACAGAATGAGGGAAAGTTAACAAATATGTCTCCGATTATGTTAAGCCCAAATGATGTAAGCTTTTGATGCAAAAAATAATGCCGCCCATATGATAAGGACGAGCGCTTTTCTAGTTCAACGGATTTCCCATTTCCTCTGCTCTTGTAGGTATTTGATACGCTTTTAGATCAAAGTACCATTTGGTACCGTAACACTTTCTTGTGAGTTGCCTGCATCTATACTTTTCGGGCTCATCTTCTCCTTCTCCTTGCCCTTAGGTTCGTTCCATTCTGCATGAGGGATTGACATCCAACCCCATATAGCCACGGCACTGACGAGAACAATGACCGTCAGGATACCAGCGCCGGCACGATCGCCGGCGGTGACGGTCGAGTGCTCCTTGAAAGGGTTCGAGTTTAAGCCGGCATTTGGGTCGCCTTTGGAGGTGCCACCCGTATCGTTCGTGGCAGGGGGATCGACGTCCAAGAGGCTCTGCACCGCTGCTAGCACGTTCATGGCCTCGCCAGCACCGCTCGTCTCGTCTATGGCCGGGTCGACGAACTGGCCTGTCGTCCAGTAGAAACCGCAGACCCTCCCTGACGCACCACCTGTGCATTGGCGGATAGCTGATGCTGTAGAGTTGCGCAAGACAGGCATGATAAGGTCACGGGTCGAGGGAACAAGTTGTGTCACCACGGTCATCCAGCGGTGGAGGTATCCCTTAAAGCTCAGCATGTCCTGCGAGCAACGTCCGGTTTCGAACTCGCAAGGGATCTCATAGGCGGCACCATCGGCAAAGAAGTCTTCGATAGCGCGGTTCGCCAAAGCTTGAGTGCGGTCGAACCACTTTTGTTCTCCTGTCTGTATGGACAATTAGACCCTGCGCGGGTCCATCATGCAAAAAGCATGCGACAGGACACTCACATAGTTGGCGAGAAATGCACAGCCCTGCATCAGGACACCGATGTTGTACGAGAAGGTAGCCTTGAAGATGTTTGTGCAGTTCTGAGGAACGTGGCCACCGTCATACACCTGTGCAGGAAATGTTAGATTTGGATACTATCATGCGTCAATATTTCGAATCAAAACCCACCCTCCAGTTCTCATGGTCGATATAGTTCACGGCCCACAACCAATCCCAAGTCTCCTCTGCGTACCTGGCATACGTATCATTGCCGGTGTAGCGGGCCAGGCGGGCGCCGATGTTAAAGAAGCAGCCGTTCGAGATGGTGTTCTTGTAGTCATAGCCTACGTTGGTTCTGGGTACTTGCCATCGCATCCCGCCACCGCAAGTGCTGTCATGTCTTTCCGGGTCTGCTTGAGTTGTCCATACAGCTTGGGCGAGGGCGAGCCATTGCGGCTTGTCTTGAGGCGGATTGGGGAACTTGTTCTCGGCGGCTAGCATCGCCGTCATGCCCCAGAAGCCCTGGTCGTCGTTGCCAAGTGAGAGTGTGTGGTTTCTAGGCATATAATCGCGATCGCTTCCGGTCTGGTGCAACATCCCCTCCGTGATGACGTGGTTATAGCTGTCGTCGCCCGTGTAATACCAATAATCGACATATGTCCCCATCATAGCACCGCCCTGCCACCAATAGTAGTCACCCATGCCCGAGTCTGGTGGTCCTGGTAGGATGCCTGGGATCTTCCCCGTTTGGTTTCCGTCATAAAATTTCATGAGGTCGTATGCGAGTGTGCTTGCGGTTGTGATGATGTCCTCTGTTAGTTGACACGCGGATTAGACATTTGTCTTAGATTGGACAATATGCGTTGAATGAGGGCTACAATAGACTCCCTACCTCTTGTGTCGATTGAGTACGCCGCATCTGCAGAACCGGGGAAGGCCAGCAACACCACAGGCAAAGCGCCCCGAAGAAGAGACAGCATCATTTTGAGCGAGCGATTGGGGGCGTACAAGCCGTCTTCCAGGCTAGAATCCCACTTTCGAGAAAACGAGCGACAACTTGATTGAGAGTGTATACGATCGGTAGCACATGGCGAGTGACCCGCTAGAACGGAAAGTCGGCGCAGGTGCGGCAACGATTCAGGAGAAAGAGGACGCAAAGATTCCAGTAATATGGCCTGAATATCCAAGAAACAGGTTGTGCAACGGGCCAGTCTTGTATTGTATTCCACGTTGAATACAGAAAGCCACACTTGACAGCATTCGATGTGCAGATGTAAGCGGAATGGTTTTGCCGCCGGGGCCCAAGTCGTACGTGAGTGAATTTGGGTTGGTGTTTGTTTTGGGCTGGAACTGTAGGACCGACAGCGAGAAAAGCTGCGCCGCTCGAGGTATCAAGGTAGTAAAGACACCGGAAGATGCGAGAGCAACACAACTCAAACAGAGTTCTCAGGGGTGAATCTGGGGAAACATGATGGTGGCATGCATGCCACTTTTGTTGTGCCTTCTCGCATCTCTTGGCGAGCCGAGGGGGAGCGTCTCCGACGACCAAGAGGATCAAGGCCCTTGGGAGAGCTTGGCAAGATGGGCAAACAAGAGAGGCACTCAGAAACCAGAAGCTCAACCAACAAGTCGGAAAAGGCATGTTCCAAGAAGGACGATGACGTGGTAGAAAGTCCTGGTGGACAACACCAAGGATCTTAGCTGGCCTGGGCATTGGGGCGGTGCGGAGCTGCCATCCAATCTTGACTCGGGCTCTTGCAGGCGGGTAGTGCTTCGCCAAGCCAAATACGAAGGCCACGACGGGAATGCGCCCAGGGATGGCGGTCTAGGCAAATGTCTGCTGAGCTTTGGCGAGTCTGGGCGCAATCCGTAGTTGTGCGCTCATCCGCCAGACTCCCGGGCCAGGGAGACGGCTTCGGGTCACTTGGTGGTTTCGTCAGCCCACATAGCGGTGACAGATCAGATTCTGGCGCATGGTGCAGGTGGTTTGGCAGCTTCTTCAACCTGTCCTTTGAGTGATGAGAGGCCTGATGACATTGTGGGAAGTCAATATTAGATACCAAATGGCGTCGAAGGGACTGCCACTGCATGGGGTTTGCGTTCTCGAAGCTTAGATGGTTGCAATTTCTCCCAGCGCAATTGGACCAGGATTGTTCAGCTCATCCCCGAGCTGAGATTCAGTCTCTCAGCCTTAGTTTGGCTTGGCGTCATCTCCGCCTTTGCTCCGACGTTGGCTATGAAACTGGCACCTTGACAGCACTGTGAAAGACATTCTGATTCAGTAACTTGCACCCACTTACTGGAATCAGCGCGTGCTGCGTTTGTCTGATCAAACGACAAATTTGAACACCTTGGCACTCATTAAAGTACATTTCGGTGGCAAAGTCAAAGCGACACAGCTCCTCATAGCCCTCATCACGCTTGAAAGGGGACGTGGGGAATTGATGGCCCAGATTATTGACAAAACAACTAGCAGAGCCCTGTTTAGTGAGGACGACACCGCCTTTCGGGCAATTTCTTCTTCTTCTTCTTCTTCTGGTGACCTTCAGAGACACCGGAATATGGTTCCGGAACTTCTGCAGAAATGAGGGCGGTTGACATCGGGTGCTGACATTTTGCTAACAATTACCCCTATTTTTAACCTGTAATTCTCTAGAACTACGTTTCTGCTCGTCTTCCTTGGCCTCCAGCGTATTGCCAACCCATTGTGATGGGCCAGAGAAAACCTTAGTTCTTAAGTCTGATCTCGGTGGGCCCAACTGTCGGCTCATTGTCTGATTAATGGCCAAAAAGTGAAGCTGATCTTAGTGCATGGTCCCTTGAGGGCGAATATGTTTATTCAAGAATACCGACGCAAGACACTGAAGTATACTGCGATAGATATACCTCGGCAGATACCTTCGCCGTCAAAGCCTTGCATGAGGGGACGATGCGTGTGTGATGAAACCCGACCTTGAAAGCCTCGGCTTCGCATTCTCAGGTTTCAAAGAATGCAGCTTCCTGTACACCCCGATGAAATAGAGTTTGGATAGCCTACGAGTACAGAACAAAAACCAAGGAACATGCCCAGATATTCCTAAGAACAGTTTACCTATCTAAGTAAAACCATGGATCCACTCAGTATCGTTACCGCTGCGGCATCTTTAGCTGGTGCTGTACTAAAGGCATCTTTCAAAATCAAAGAAACCATCGACGCCTACGAAGATGCACCGCAGAGTATTGCCGACATAGCCGATGAGGTTCACGCTGTTCAGATAGCCCTCCGACAGGTTGAGAGTGTCGTGAGCCAAGATCCGGATGCCATTGAGCGGCTGGGATTGGAAGACGTCTTCGCAATCGCTGTCAACGGCTGCCATGCGACGCTTTTATCGATCAGCAAGGAGTATGAAAATCTTTTCCTCCGCAGCGACTGGAAAGCGAAGATACAGGCTTTATGGAAAGAAGGAGAGATGGCTCGGCTCCTTGGTCGATTGGATCGAAAGAAAGCAACGTTGACGCTTCTGACCCAGACGCTGAATCTGTAAGTCGGCCCTTGATGCAACGGCCTGCGAGTGATGATACTGATACTGTTCCAGGCGGTCTACCCAGGACATCAAGGCCCTGTTGATACAAAATCAATCAACCCTCAATGCAGCGAAACAAGACGTCAAGGAGCCGGCTGCATACTATCCAGACCTCCGGCCAATGAGCCCAAACTCCTTGGACGAAGGCAGTGGGGTTGGGACTCCCAGAAACAGAGATTCAGTCCTCAGCATCACGGAATTCGACTTTGACCATGATTTAATTAACACGAAGACCTATCGACGTGCTTTACAAAGATATGCGGTTGCAAACAAGCGGGAAGATTCGATATCTGAGCAAGAGACGGAGGGTACGCCTGCTTGCAAAGAAAACGACAACAGGCCATTGGATGAAGAAGACGACACTGGAGATCTTATCGAGTTCCCGACAAGCCCGTCGACATTGCGGCCTTCTTCATCTCAGGCAACAACCATGTGTCCCGATTTGGAGGGCATTGAGTTTGATGTTCCGCCTGCCGCGCCTCCTAAAGAAACCAAAGCACCACCCCTGAAACGTTTTGTACTTGGCCGCTCACAAACTGACGTGGCCCCAAACATGTCAAATATTATGCCCGAGGATGCGAACACAAGGAAACGGTTTCCGCCAACTAAGAAAGAAAAGGGCTTGCCACAACACCTCATGGCAGGGCTGGTGGCAGAGAAGTACCATCGACGAAAGAAATATGGAAAGCCGGCCTTTCTCGAGACATGTTCGTCATTGCAAAGGCCCGATATATCGTCCATCACCAAACACATTGCAGATTCTGCCTCAAGCTCACCTCCGCTTGAAGACGCAACGCCGAGCATGTGCAATACGGGCCTGCCAGATAAGAAACTACGGAAGCTCGAACATCGACGGAAGTGTGACCGCCCTGCCCATATCAGACGACGTCATGGAAAAGAACTATTGCAAGCACGAAGTTCCGAGGAATCAACCACGACCTTGAGCTCTTTAGATTCGGTCACGGAGGCTTTGCAACGTCTTGGGCTTCAGCCGCCGCCGCCGCTTCCACTGAGGCCTTCTGGTAGAGAAGGGAGGCGCCGCAAGCAGGCAGCCTAGAGCTCTGGGATAGAAACCGATGCGATAGAAATTGGAGATTCATATGGTTTCCTGGAAAACTAGATACTCTATGGTCTGGTTTCGCTCTTACTCGACAGCAAAAATGCTTACGAATAGTCGATGGTTATAAACAGTGTCTACTAAAAATACATGATTATCTTCCATAAACTTCTGATAATTTTCCAATTGTCTCCCAGAAGTGGTGTCTCTTGACTTTACTTCCGCTTGGTAAGCATTGGATGAAGGGGCAACCTCGTATAACCATCCCTTCCCGCCTTGAAAACGGTATGGACATCGCATTTGGTACAAGAGTAATTATCTGTTTGATGGTTAAGTTTCAAAGCGGATAAGACCGCATGTATCATTGGGTCTCTTTGAATCTTTAGGTATATTTATACATCTTCTTGTCGGATCAACTTATCATTTTTCAGATACATACAATTAGATGTTGATATAATTAAGTAATAGTAAGCTGTCTTTGAAGTTTCGTAGCTTCTGCATTTGAATTGGTCTCCTAATTTCCACTGTTGAGGACTAACCTGTGATTATGGAGCCGTATATGGTTTTAGAGAAATATGGGTAGATGTCATACGCCTTAATAGAACCTGCTGTCCCACCATGGTTTGTTGTATTGGACACAGTCCTGCTCTCTGGGGTGATAAATGAAACACTCTAGAAGGATACAGAGACGCAGATGAATTATAATACGTCGAGTGGGACATTTGCGATGTTGACGTGAAGATACTAGCGAAGTGAGGGGTTTGTGTGCCCTTTACCCGGAGCTTTGTGCTGTTGAGCAGCGCGTCGCCAACGAAATATGGTGATGACGGCTATTGCCAATGCTCATGGATATGTCAGAGACCATCAGTTAGCAGGCAACTTAATAGTCCACGCTTTTCAAAATTTCTAAATGCGGAGGTGAAAATAGTAGATCCGATAATACTACGAAACTTGTCGCTGGTGGATGCTGCTTGAAACAGTTGCATTGAGAAGCTTCGATCATTGCGAAAGTAGGGCAAGCATGGCAGCCGCCAATGGTTAAAATTGAACGGGACAAGCAATACTCATTTATCAGATTACGCTTAGGATTCCATCTCTGTAGAGTCACACAACGGATAAAGAGCTATCAAATGAGTACACCTCCCAGACTTGGTCAATATCTGTTGTGTAGGCGCCCCATAGTACCAAATCTGTTGGTTTTTCACTAAGCAATTGATGGGGATATCCCGATTCTTGTGTTATCACCAGTAATGAGAAAGGTGGTCAATTGTTGTTGGTTGTTATAGTAGTCAAGTGGATGAGGTGAAAGTAAGTAAGTATGGGCCGGTGGGCGGTGAGTCACGTGACTCACCTTATCCCACCGTAGCTCCCATATACCAACAAAATCAAACAAAAACATTCTAAAGGCCCTAATTATTGTCCAATGCTGTTCAATCGTCAGACGGTGGCGAAATAAAACGTTGCGCAAGGACAAGGCAAATACACCAGCAGGAGCCAAGTCTTTGGATACTGGTAAGTGGAAAGGGTTGATAGATACCGAGATCTGACGGCGTGACCCAGAGAGCTTACTCAGTCCGGGCGCGAAGGGCGTAGGAAAGGTGCATGTATGTGTCGAAGTCCTTGGAAGTGGAGGCACCCCTGCTTTGAGGTGACTTCGAGTAGTGCTAAATACTCTGGCTACTTTGACAGTATGCTACCTTCATGGTCTTGGCACTCCGCAAAGATCCCCAGAAAAATCAAAAGTTCCCGACATTGTGTAGAAACGGGGCGGCGAGGGGTGAACACCATACCAAGTTTGACATAGCGTCGAAAGGTAGTGCAGGATACCGTTCTGATTACGTGCCAATGTCCGGGCTGGAACACACAGACGTCTGCTGACCACCGTTCATTTCGGGTCAGACGGACGTCAGCACTCTAGACCTAGGAGGCCAATACCATATGCAGAAGTTCGTGCTCATGGCAAGCTGTGCGTCATAAAAACTACAGGTAGGAGGGCGTTGTGATTACTTTTATTTCCAAAATCCCATGCTGGTCCGCGCAGCTTCTTGTTTAGCGATGAACTGAAAATCAGAAGTTCTCATAGCCACACTTGCAGGTGTTCCTCGTGTCGTGTCAAGACCACGCGTGCGGCCATAATGTTGTGGATCACCGGCATTGAAGTCTGGCCTCGAACAAAACCCGGGGTAAGGGAAAGCCAAGCCTTGTGACAGCTCTCGGTGCCTAGACACCGGATAGACTCCAAGATTCTACCGCACTGGCTCGTGCTTGATATCCCCAGCCGAAAGAGGCCCAAATATTTTCCTTGGAGGCTACGGACAGCTGGACTGTCTGCCTTTCTGTCCAACCCTAGCTTGACACCACAGGTACAGCATTGGTGGGCAGGGGAGAGAGCTGCGGCCAATAAACACAAAAGTACCTGATGCCTGGACGATTATTAGGGGCCCCCGGCTAGGTTATTGGCCAGGGAAGTCTCTCATCCTGCGGCCCAACGTCGGGGGACCTTGTGTGGCATGAGATGATCCTCCAACCAGAACTTTGGGAGTTATCATAGTCGTGCGTACTCATCGCAAACTCATTTGCAAAGCCGAGGAGCTCGCAGGTTATCAAGCGTCATCTTATTCGCTGTTTATCGGAAGCCCAAGGCATCATTACTGTTTGACATGCACCCAGTATTTTTGTCCACTGAAAAGGCTGCATCCACCCTGTGCCCAAATTATGGCATTCGTTTCTCGAGCCTAATTGCTGGGGCTTGGCTCTTGGAAAGTGCTTGGAAGGCTGTGTGCCAAAGGTACCCGTTCCTTGAGACCAAGGCGCTGTCGGAACCAACCGACTTGGCGATCCCGACGACATTGTTCAGAATGCTTTTGAGCACTGCTATCTTCCTAGGGCCAAGAACGGTGTGCTTTGCAGCTTAAACATTCCAAGTTACGAGTGACCTCCCTAATTTGGCATCGATGGACGGGCGAGTCTTACATCAAAAGTTCCGTCATGTTTCAAAATAAGAGCAGCGCGAAAGGTAAAAGGGATGCACAACGTAGTCCCAGCCGCGAAAAAAACACATAGACCCTGGTTCGCCATACTAAGCATGCATGTACATTCGGCTGATTTAGAGACAATTTGACGCTAGATGGCCTGCTCTCTGTCTATTCACCAAACAAATGTTCCACCAAGGCCCATCTACCCTCCACCGTACGAGCCGTACCACACCCCTACGGAAATGGAGGGTCAGATAGATCATGTCGTATCTTTGGAGAGCGGGGCTCGTTCGATGTTCTAGCCAATATGGATCGCAGGACCATGGCATACCCTTTACTCAAGCCAGACAATGGAACCTGCGATAACAGGGATTCATGGTCCTAGACATGTCCAGATCCAGCGATTGTGACCATGGAATACATTATGGTGCATGTACAGTAGGCTAGCACTGGTGATGTATATCAGCTGTTTCCATGTCTCTCACCCTGCTTTTTATACACCCCTTCGCTCACGATCTTGCGTTCCGAGCACACTCTCAACGTGGGATCTCAGTCTTACTTTACACAACCGGGCGAGACCTCCGATATCAGAGCATTTAACAATAGCAGATCTCGCAATGACCGAAGAGAAGGTCACGCCCGCGATCGCCGACAGCGGCGACGCGCGCCCGTCATACATCGGAAGCGCCCGCGTCCACCCCGATGAAAAAGGTGCTATGGGCGGCGAATGGACCGAACCCGTAGTTGATACAAAGGTTCCGGAGACGGAAGAACACAAAGAAGAGGACCTCTACCGTCCCCTGTTGATGGACCCCAGCATCCCGCATGAAGAAAACATTCTCACCGTGCGAGCGGTCGTTATCGGTTGCATTCTGGGATCACTTGTCAACGCATCTAACCTATATCTTGGGTTGAAAACGGGCTTCACGTTTATTGCTTCGATGTTCGGTGTAAGTATACAGAGAAACATCTGGTCGAGCTGTGGTGGATCTGTGCTAACGACTCTCAATGTAGTCGATTTTCGGATACGGATTTTTGAAGCTTCTCTCACAAACAAATCTCCCTATCATCGGGGGCACGTTCGGACCCCAAGAGAAGTAAATCAAACCCCTCTTTTCTGACTCTAATATTGACGCTGATCTTGGTAAACTAGCTCAATCGTACAAGCGGCGGCCACCGGTGCCGGTGGTATCGCCGGTATCTTTGTCGCCGGTATCCCCGCCATGTACCGACTTGGACTTATGGACAGCACGCCTTCCGGCGACATCGGAAAGATATTTACCTTGACCATCTGCTGTTCTTTTTTCGGAATCTTCTTTGTCACACCGCTCCGGAAGTTCTTCATCATCCGGACTGCCCGGGAGCTGAAGCTCATGTTTCCCACCCCGACCGCGGCCGCCTTGACAATCAGGTCCATGCATGCGGGTATAAAAGGAGCCCAAGAAGCTGCTAGTAAGCTGAAGGCGCTTGGCTTTGCCTTCTGCGCCTGCATCGGCCACCGCGTCGCATCATACTACGCCATTGGAATCCTCTACGACTGGCACGTTTTCACCTGGATCCATATCTGGAGCGGTTATACGTCTTGGGCGATGAACATCGAGAGCTGGGGATGGTATTTTGAATGGACGACTGCCTTTATTGGCTCAGGAATGTTGATCGGAATGAACTCTGCTTGTTCAATGATGGCAGGTAGTATCTTGGCCTGGGGCCTTATCGGCCCCGTTCTCGTTCACTATGGCGAATGTATTGGGCTCGATGCTTCCGATGGAGACCCGAAGTGGAACGGCTACTACAGTTTCACGTCTCTGAAGAACGTTGGGAGCGGCCCCCCGTCCCCGCGATACTGGCTGTTGTGGCCCGGGGTCATGGTCATGGTGTGTTCATCAATGGGAGAGTTGCTAGTCCATTGGAAGATCATCTACTACGGCTTCAAGGCTGGCTGGAAATCCATCTGCTTGTCGGTCCATCAGACCGCCATGAAGCGGAACAAGCGGATCGAGTTCTTCGCCAAGTATGCCGAGGCAGAAGAGAAGATGGACGCAGACCATGTCGAGGACCCTGCCAGGCCTGACCAACAAGTCAACACATGGATCTGGGTTACTGGTCTTTTTGCGTCTATCGTTTTGGCCTGCATTGTTATGGGAGTTCAATGGCATGTCAACGTGGGCGTCACGATTCTGGCCCTCGTCCTCGCCTTTTTGTTCTCTTTCCTGGCCATCCAGATTGGAGCTGTTACCGACCAGACACCTCTTACAGCTGCGGCAAAGGCTGCTCAGCTAGTTATTGGCGGTACCACAACTGGGGCAGGATACACGGTTCAACATGCTCAGCGTATTAACCTCATCTCTGCTGGCTTGGCGGCCGGCGCCGCCGACGTTGCTACATCCCTTACCTCCGATTTCCGTACTGGCTTTCTTCTCGGTACGCCACCCAAGAAACAGTTCATTGCTCAAGCTATAGGCACTTTCGTGTCGGTTTGGCTCGCACCCGGATTGTTTGTCTTGTTCACCTCGGCCTATCCCTGTATTACGAATGCCGAGCTGGATCACTGTCCTTTCCTGGTTCCGTCTGTTAGTGCCTGGGCTGCAGTTGCCGAGGTCGTCACCAGCCCCGATGTCCCCATTCCGCTCTCTTCCGGCATCTTTGCTATCGTTCTCGGTGTCTTTTCCATCCTGCAGGTTTTCTTCCGCTACTATTACCTCACCGGTTCCCGCGAGAAGTACCAACAATGGCTTCCCAACTGGGGGGCCATTGCCCTGTCATTCGTCATTCCAGGTCCTGTGTTCGTCAATGCTGCCTTTTTCGGCGCCATAATCGCCTTTGTCTGGCGCAAGTGGAAGCCTGCGAGCTTCGAGCTTTACGGATATGCCATCGCCGCCGGTATGATTGCTGGAGAGGGAATGGGTGGTGTCATTGGCGCCGCGCTGCAATTGGGAAACGTCTCGAGCGACAGATACGGAACCGGCGGTCTCGCTTGTCCTATGGACGCTTGCTAAGTTGTGTTGAATGATCTTGACAGTGTAACTCAACACGATGCTTTGCGAGAGATTTTTACAATAATCTGAGCTGCTATATCAATGGCAAGAATTCTACAAATGTTGACATATTTGTCAATAAGAAGCATGCAGCGTTAGAATGAAACGACTTGAAAGGCTACAAGACATGCCGCGATGAGCGCGGCTGCAGTCTACTTTACTGGAGTCTTTCAATGCGCCTTTATGCCTACTTTTCCTACCAACTGGGGTACATTGGGTTACTTCTTCAGATGATGTTAGTAGACCACCCAATCATTGACTTGATAGATAGGGGAAAGCACGCATAGTCATCTTGACCAATTCTCGCGTCTCTGTCAAGATTGCCACCATTACAAACTTATGTGAGGAAGTTTCTAAGCGCTTAGACTTACCTTGGCCCCATAGTTGTGTTGGTAAAATTTTACAACCCGTGCATTATCATCTCAACAACTTGAAAGTTTGATTTAGTGAAGTAAGTTAAAGATAACTACATGACGTACCATCCAGGTTTCTCTCACATCACACCTGAGTTCTACAGCTAGTACTTTAAATAGTAAGAAGTTTCTTATAGCCTCATTCTGACAACAAGTAACCCGCAGTCCCCTCGTTGCTCCATTTGATATTGATCATGTCCCATTCAACGCCGTCGAGCACGCGGATGTTGAGTGGCTGTATTTCAAGCTGCCTACGCACAAATTCTTGCCTTGTTTCGGGTAATCTGGCAATAACCTCTTTAGGCGGTCCGTATAGGTTTCCAAAGCAGTGAACGCCACATATACGACAAAATGGCGACCCGTTGAACCCACGGCCGAATTTGTAGTCCTGAGTCTGGTCTTTGCCATCCAGTCTGACCTCCGACTGATGGGGGTAAACACCTATGAAGCCGTTCTGGGAAAAGAAAATCAGTTGAAGTTTGAATTGGACATTAGAAGGCTCGGGCTTACTCGGATGCATATGCTGCAGTTATCTTCCTTGATTTCGACATCATAAAGTGGTTTCGTTGTGACGGCAATCTGCACGGCACCGCATTCGCAACTTCCCTCATAACACTTGAGATTATCTCCGGGTACACTGTGCAAGGGTTCGTGTAGCTCAGCGGCCTTAGGTGGAGATGCGTTCTTGACGAAACTAAGGCGATATTTAATTAGATCAACTGACAGGATTTGCATGACCGGCAACATACCTTAAAGCCCCTGGATAAGGCTCCTTACCGCCCGAAGAATCCAAAGCAATCACCTCCCGTCCCCTGATGAAGATTCCTTTCACATCAGACACAAGAACACGAAAGTTGATGCCTCTTTTCCCCGCCTGGGCTCCCGATGCATGCGTTCCAAACAGTCCTGTCCCACAGGTCGAGCAAAACTGAAAATCCACGTTTATTAACGAATAGAGCGCCTGAAAAGATAGTGCGATCGACTTACTTCGTGCTCTAGTCCTTCTGCGCGAGAGGACTTGTAAGTTGTCAAAGTGTCGGCAGTGCATCCTCTCGTTGTTTTCAGACTGATGACGGCGTCATAGATCCATATATGGCCCTTCTTCACGCAGAGTGTGCAATCACAGATCACCAATGAAGGCAATTGGGGCAATTGGACCTCATAGCGGTTGATGCCACAGTGGCAGTTGCCTTTGTATGTGAGTAAAGACTCTGACATTGCGCTGTGCCTATGCCGTCGAACGCGGGGGTTCTCGAGAAGTAGCCAAGGCCAGGCTGCAATCGCAAGGTAATATAGTACACCCCGAACGGACTTCGGCACCAGTGCCAAAGTGAGCGCTGGCTTTCATTGGTCAAAGAGACGCATGTGGTATGGGTGAGAATATGGGTAAGTAAGCGCTTGCGAACAGCATGTCACCCTAACAGTTAAGAATAGGCCATCTTCTCGTATTGGTCTGTCCGATCGAAAATGGCTTCATCCAATTGGCCACAAAAGTCACAACTCGAGGTCGAGGGGATTCCATGTCCCTGGATCAACTAGAGATAAGAGCACCTACTTATCCACTTACACTAACACCAATGAATAGTGAGTCCACAGTAAGCCCTGCAATATGAATGACTCCTTTCTATTCCTATCATGTAATCCAGATTGTATACAACGTTGCTCAACGGACACGCAAAGTCGAACACTGTTCGCTGTTTCATTCCGTAGGCCAAGCCAGAGGCCGACATTCAAAAATTCGCCGTTACCTTTCCGAGATCACTCCGTCTCAGGTCTAACCATTTTTGAAATAACCTCCGATAGGTTAAGTGAGCGAATACTTTGGACACTTCCCTGTCAAGTCTCAAATTCCATGGCATGATCCAACCAGATTTTGCATGTATCGCTGTTGGTCCTGTATGTTCGTTGGAACTAAAGCGGAGCACGTTACATACTGGCCGCACCGCTTCTTCTCGCGAAGACCCTAGTCCTTACCCCTCATTTCGCTTGAGAACAGCTGAGCTATGTTCAAGATCGAAAGGACGGTTCCTAGAGGATCTTGTCCAATGCTTCACGGTTTGATTCCATCAAAATATGGCAGACCATCGGGCCACACCGCCAGCCTCAGCACTGCTCTCTGAGGAATCATCACAAGCAGTTGCTCCAAGTCCCACAACTGCAGCAACGTCAGCTATCCCGCCGATCGAGGCTGATAGTACGGAAGACACCAACTCTCTGCTGGATGGTTACGTTAGCGACGCAGACCACACCTCCAATACCTCCACATCCCTCGCCTCAAGCGTCCGAGACTATAACTGGGAGAACCGGCGTCGCTATCACAAGTACCGAGAAGGTCGCTATATGGTACCTAACGACGAGCTCGAGCAAGACCGTGAGGACATGAAGCATGCATTGGTAGTCAACATTTGCGGAGGTGCTTTGCACAGCGCGCCGTTGAAGCATCCGCAAAAGATTCTCGACATCGGTACCGGTACTGGTATTTGGGCTGTAGAAAGTGAGTGTTGCCTGATAGTCCATCGTTGAGGGAATCTTTGGATGCTGACTGTCGCAGTGGGCGATCTCTATCCTGAAGCCGACATCACTGGCATTGATCTAAGTCCTATCCAACCCGATTTCGTACCTCCAAACGTGCACTTTCTGGTCGATGATGCGGAAGTGGAATGGGTTTACCCCGATGATTCGTTCGATTACATTCATATGCGACACATGGCGGCTTTCTTCAAAGATTGGCCAAAGGTGCTTTCACAGGCGTACAGGTAAGTCCCGCCTTTGTTATCAAAATTGCAGAACAACGCCTGATTATCGTAGGGTTCTAAAGCCAGGTGGCTGGATTGAGTTTCAAGACCTATGCTGGAGAATGGCTTGTGATGATGGTACCATGGCCCCCGACTATTCTCCAGCGAAAATGATCAGCTTCATCGAGGAAGGCATGGCAACGTGGGGTTTCGAGCTGCTTTCGGCAGAGAGACTTCCCGAGAGACTCAAAGCAGCAGGCTTTGTGAGTCAGGTCCACAATGTCAAAAAGATCCCTCTTGGCGCATGGCCCAAGGATGAAGAGCTGAAGACTATCGGAAGCTACACCCGGGCGATACTTTACGACGGCTTACAAGGAATCACGATGCGTCCCATGACGAAAGGATTGGACTGGACGCACTCCGAAGTGGAGATTTTTCTGGTTGGGGTACGCAAAGACCTGATGAAGACCTCATCTCATGTTTACACTTACTATCATACCGCCCTGGGCCAGAAGCCGCTGGAGTAAAGTACGGAAGCCGGCATCTTGATGGTCTGGGAGAGGTATTAACTATGTCCACATTCGTTCTAAAGAGTGAATCATTGACATCGCGTCGTATTCTTTTTGGGAACTTGCTTACAGCTGAATTAAGTCACTTGGTTTTCTGTCTCAGTTAATGAGAGGCCGTAGTCTTGGACGAAGTTGACTGATAATATGCTTCATTGGGGGATTTTACATCTATTACGTGGAAGAAATTCAAAGGTGTTAATGTACCAGGAAGTTCCATCAGAAGCGTGGGGTTATGTCTCTTGTTATTCAGCTCAAGCTTGGATCTCACATCACCTAGCGCAGAGAAAGAGTCCATGTTTCTTCGAAATTTAGCATTTTCTACTCACCATCAACAGATCAAGTGATGTTGCATCGCCTGCTGCTCCAAAACGGACCACTCTCAAGCATTGGTAATTCTTTTTCTCGTTCAATTCTGATGAATAACCGGCAGTTCTTCAAAGTTTTAATTAATACTCATGATATGTATCATGTCTCCGAGGGTCCAATGGGCTGAGTAGTTTGAAAGGTGACATGGCCTGATTGATCGATGACGTATTCATTATTAACAGGTCATAACATCGTCGCTATACCGTCACGTCACACCAGAGCTAGCATCTTTATATACACCAGACTATACCCTTGGAAAGATCGTTCCATCTTGTATTATTCGATCCAGTACAATAGAATCCATGTTGACCCAGAAGTTCTTTCGCACAATCAGCAGCGTCTACTGGACTTCGCTAGGCCGTCGTATCACCTCAGCACAAGTACAAACCAGGAGCTTCTCTGCGACGGCCACAATGTCCAAATTCCCTATTTCCTCAAGCGATCCTCCCAAAAAGGAGATGCAGTACTTTCCTGATATGACCACAGCTCTGCCGTCCGAGTCCGGCGAGTTCCGTCGGGTCCTTTGGACCGGTCTATATTCTCAACTGGTTCTTATGACGGTCCCAGTTGGTGGTGACATTGGCGAGGAGGTGGGCATGCTGTGGTCTGCGTAGATAGAATCTGAATGCTAACAAAACACTAGATCCATACTGTTGACCAAATCCTAACGTTTACCTCCGGCAAAGGTCTGGCGCAAGTCGGCGGCAAGGAGCAAGAGGTCAAGGCTGGTGATATGGTTATTGTCCCTGCCGGAACCAAGCATCAGTTCTTGAACAAAGGTCCGACTCCATTGATTCTATATACAGTGTACTCGCCGGCCGAGCATAAGCCCACCACGGTCCATAAAACCAAAGAACAGGGTGACGAGGAAGAGGAAGAGGGCATCGACGAGCCGCCTGAATGGAGCCAGAGAAGCAAAGAGCAAAATGAGAAGGAGGGTTGGGTGAAGGGCGAATAATTGTACCACTAGTTACGTATAGCTTGCTGGCATCAAATACTTCAGACTCGGGGCATATACTAATGTGAAGATGCGGTTCAACCTTGGAAGAGATTTACACATTCCTTCTACATGGCCGCGGACGTTTCATTGCCTCAAGCTATCATCAGTTCAAACCCCCAGCACAATATCATCGTAACAGATCTGTCATCCCCTTCGAGATGCGCAGTAGAAATGGACACTACTCGGCATCAAGAGTACAATATAGGACGATAATTAGCGCACCCAGTCGCTCCTCACAATGTCTTCAATGAACCAATCATTAGTAACAGATTTGTTTCAAGGGATAGATACGGTACGCAGCTGATTGCTCCCTAAACGATACAATGTCAAAGCTTTCCGGCCAGGTGATCGGCGTAAAGATCCGGTAAGAAGGAAGCCAAGTTAGTAAACTCGGTCTGGTCGTGTATGAAGTGTTCGTAGGCAACATTTTCCCCTGCCATGCGATGTTTGATTCCTAGCGCTCCTGCGAGGTAGTCGATCCCAACCTTCATGCCGAACAGTTTGTAATGGACGCCTCCACCAAGCCAATACCGACTTCGTAATTCAAGACCGTCCTCAGTCTTCCGCCAGAGATGCAAAAAGTCACCAATCTTCAGATTGGCCACCAAACCGTCCCAAAGCTCCGCACAAACAGCCGCCTCATAGCCAGCCTCCTTGAGATCGGCCCACGGCAAGCCGTAGTGAGCAGGGTCGACGAAATGGATCCTAACGGTCATCTTGGTCGCGCCGATGAACTCCGTTACGCGATGCGTGGAGCCCAGCCACTTTTGCGTGTGAGACAGGTCGTCGCGGTGCAGGCGGTGTGCGTAGTTCGAGTGGACGCTCAGATGGTCGTATGGAAACCACAGGGCGTAGCGCTCCGGCTCGACGCTGTGCCACCAAAACCACCAGCGGACCATGTCTCCAGTCGAGCCCGGGAATCGCGTTCGCGACGTGACGTACGCGGTCCCGTCCGGGAGGGCACGCCAGCCGTTCTCGTGTCGGTGATAGCCAGGTTCGAGTAAGCGACGGCAGTCTTTGATTGGCAACACACCATCCGGCGGCATCTGCTGCCGCATGTACTGCGGGATGTCGGCATAGATGTACAGGTCTTGATTGAAATACTTGGCGTACTTCTTGTTCTTTATGCGCCTTCTGTTGTGATGAAACGCTTTCTGCGTCTCGAGTGGATAATATATGATAGGAACTTTGGCAGGATAGCCATCTTGGTCCGGGTTTTGGAGACGATTCAGTGCTATCGTATTGCTCGTTAACGTTGGTGATGCTATCTGGCTTCGCAGCGCTGAAAGCCGCAACGCAGACCTTTGACGTAGCGATTCGGGGTCCATATTGCTTCCTTCCTGTCACCACCTTTGGTTTATTTTATGATGGCTAGATGATGGTAAGTAAGAGAAGTAGATAGGCATTTATACCTTGTTGCAGAGTGCGGTCTGGGGGGGCTAGTGCGCAATTTGACTTTGTGTTGACCCTCGGCATATTAACCTCAGCTTATTAAACTCAGCGGCACGCGTAGTCATTAAACCTAGTTACGGCCAACCGCCTATTAATATCTAACCTTCAATGGCGCGCAATCATACAATCCAGCATGGCATATCGATCCGGCGTTTGCAAACCGCGTGGTGAGAAGGTGCTAGTGTTTAAATAAGAAAACCGTCGCCGTGAGATGCAATAAGCAGCCGGGTTCCAGACGTACAAGCTTGATAGGCGGCTTGGTGCCATCCGTTTGGAGATGTGACTTCTTGGTAGTGTTGTCCGTGGGAAAAGCAGGCCAACATCCTTCGTTTGCGCTCCAAACCTTAGAAAACATCTTGCCTGGCTCAGATAACTCTAAACATGTTCGACTTCACCCCTCTTTTCAGTCCTTCGGCCCTCCCATTCTCGTACTCGACACCTGCCGCGCCGCCCTCTCCTGACATACCCTCCAGCTTCAATCGCAATTCCTCGTCCAGCTCCGCGATTGTCTTCTTCTCCCTCTTCTCCATCTGTACGGTTTCAGCGCTGTCTTCGGCCGATGTGGCTTGCGTCTGATCGCGTGTGGCTTTTTGTGTGTTTCCGGTCTTTGATGACGATGATTGGGTGGTCAGATGTGCTGCAACTGCGGACGTCTTGGCAGCTGGAGCGGGGAACTTGGTTGCCAGGCGCAGTTGGTTGGCCGGTCGAAGCATGTCGTGGCAAGGTTCTCTGAACAATGATATTCTTTTGGGGTATGTGAAGCTGATGCCCAAGATAATTCAAAAAGAGTCTTTAGAGTAGTGCGGGATAGGTTATTGGATTTACAGTAATAGATTCTATGTTGCTGTGTGTTATCGTTCGTCATGATATCATTAAGTAGTGCGTTTAGGGGGCAATTCATGTAGTTAAAAGTGGCTTGTTTCTTCTATCTATAGTACTATAATCCATGTTCCTTAAATATTGCCTTGCTTAGTGGATTCTGCCGCAAGTATCCATATTCAGGAGCAAAGGTTAGATTAATAAGTAATATTATTCTAGAGAGCAGTGTTAGTTAGTAATATCCTATGTGATATACCCCCTTAGGCGTTAGCGTAGGTCACTGTACGCCTAGATATAAAGGAAAAATAGTTCTTTTAGTGTAAAAAGGCTAGTTATTATATAATTATAGGCTACTAGTATTAGGTATTCTTATTAGTAAGGCTACTTACTATAAGGCTAGCTTATACACTAGTAAATATTACCTTAAGGCTAAATTTATAGTTACTTTTTTTTTAATAACTATAATAATAATTATAAGTTATATTATTATTTTTATTATAATTAATTACTAACTTATTATCTTTTTATATTACTATACTACTTTACTTAATTACTAATACTTTTTTTTTTTTAGATATTTTATAAAACTATTACCTTTAATAAAGCTTATATATATACTTTTATAGCTACTATAGGCCCTAAGGCTATAGTAGTCTTACTGCTATATAACTACTATAGTTACTATAAGTGTACCTTATCTTCTCTTAAGGAGAAAAAAAAGACCTTTAGTAGGTCTATAGAAGAGTAAGAACCCTCTATAGATAAGTCTTATAAGTATTATCTTATCTTATTACTAGTTAATTAATTTTAGTACTAAAGAATAAGTATAGCTTTTTAAAAGTAATAATAAGTAGTCTTTTTAAAGACTAGCCTTCTTAACTTTAGTTAAAAAAAGCTAAGTAACTTAGGCCTAGATTTACCTTTAACTAGTATATTACTACTTATTATTACCTAGTTATTTTTTAATTACTAACTTATTTTATAGATAATAAAGTAATAGTAAAGTAAATATTTTTTTACTTTTATACTAATAATAAAGAGAGCCTACTACTATCTCCTAAGGTTAAAAAAGATTTAGGTAGTAATAATAATACCTTTATAAAGGCACTAGAGTACTAAGAAAGTATAGTAAGAAGACCTACTGTTGTTAGCCTTTATAAGTGTTACTTAAGGAGTATACTTATAAGTTAATCTAATAGTAAGTGTCTTTTAGGTCTTAGCCTTAAATATTACTAATATATTATATATTAGTATATATATATACTATTTACCTCTAAGGTTATTAGCCTAGCTAATACCCTTCTATATACTTTAAGTAGTAAAAAGCCTTATATAAGGTAAGTTACTTTTTATTTATATAATAGTTACTTTTACTTATATATCTTTATTTTAGGTAATTATAGCTATATAGTTATATATATAGGTAGTTTTACCTTAAACCTTAAAGAAGAAAAAGGCTACTTTACCTATAACTATCTTCTCTAATAAGGATAAAGAGAAAGATAAAGATAAAGAGGAAGAGAAAAAGTAAGAGAAAAAAGAAAAAAAGAAGTATAATAAAGTAAGTAGCCTTAAGGATCTCTTTATAAAGGCTATTACCCCTAAGTATTCCTCTAGTCTCTTTATTAGTCTTTATATATATTATAGCTATACTTTTAGTACTACTTATATATAGGCTAACCTTAATAGCTTTATTAGTAAGCTTCCTCTTTTATAGAAAACTTACTTTATATTTTATTATCTCTTAAATAACTATATAGATGCCTTTCTCTATTAATAATAGGCTTTTTAGCCCTTAGGCTATTTTTATCTTTTTAGAATATTAGGCTTCTTAGCCTATAGGCTATTTTTTAATTTTTACTTTAGCTTAGGCCCTTTAGCCTTAGGCTATTATTTAATTTTAGAGAAGTTTTTACTTTTACTTTTCTTATTATTTATTAATTAGGTCTTTATTTCTTTTTACTTTACTATATACTATATATCTTATAAGTTAAAAAGTACTCTAAAGTGCTTAAATTTAGCTTATAAGAGATTCTTAGTAAGTCTATTTACTAGTATCTTATTTATTAATAAATATATAATATTAACTTTACTTTTTATATAGACCTCTTATAGCTATATATTCTAAATATTAATATAGTAAAGTTATATTATAATCTTTTTTTTCTCTTATAATTAAGTAAATTATTTACTAGTTATTATATTATACTACTTATATATTGTCTTTTAATTTAAGGTAAATATTATAAAAGAGGTATTTTAAGGTAATAAGCTCTTTAGTTATATAGTTAAAAGTAAAAAGCTTAGCTTTAGTTATTAATATTATAACTATTACTTAGTAAGTTACCTTCTAATAAATTAGCCTACTAAAGAAATATATAATATACCTCTAGAATAACTAATAAGTAATTATATTATTAGTAAAAGAAGTATTACTTATATAGAGAAGTTATATACCCCTTAAAATACTAAAGTATATTAATAGGTATAAGGTATAAAAAAGGTATTAAATATACTACTTTACTACTTAAATATAGTGTACACTTAGGTTTATTAGGTACCTAGAGAGAAGTAAGTAAGTAAATACTATATTTAGCTAGATTATTATAGTAGTATATAAGATTAATCTAACTATCTCTTAAAATAGCTTTACCTTTACTAATATTACTGTCCCTTTGTTTTAGAAAAAGTCTATTATTAGTAGTAGTGTTATAGAAGAAATCCTATCTATATATTTAAACTTTACTACTATATTATAAATATATTAGTTATAGTAAAGAAATATCTTCTAGTTAGGTCTATTATATATAATATAAATACCTAAATACTACTTTATTTTTCTAAAGTCTTTTATTTTATATACCTTTTTTAGCCTTATAATAATTACTTTTTTACCTTCTTGCTCTCTTTTAGGTATATAATAAGAATATTATTAATATAAAAAGTATATATATAGTATACTCCTTAGAAATAAAGAAATAAAGGTCTTCCTTTAATAATAGTAGCCCTAGGCTTTTTAGTGTCTTTATAAACTCCTTAAACTAAAAAGAGGTATATTATATAACCTATATAAGGCCTATATAATAAACACTACTTTTCTTTTTTACTAATAACCTAGTAGTAGTTTATAGTATATTAGCTTTTTTAATAGGTCTTTTTTAGTATTAAGAAATATATTAACTATATTAAGTTACCTAACTTTAAGGTTAAATTATATAGTAATAGCTATTACTATATAAAAGGTTTACACTATAAAGGTTACTATATATATTTAAAGAAGGAGGTCTTTTTCTTATATATCCCCCTTATAATAACTTATACCTTACTATAGTTAAAATATTCTTTTAAATCTTACTTATATATTTACACTTACTTTAATAAGAGAAGCCTTATTTTTAGTAGTAAATCTTACTTATTAATTACCTTAAACGCTTTAAGATACTTTAGTTCTATAATTTTATAATCTATTACTTATTATAGTAGTTAATAAAGGTCTAGAGGTATCTTAATTAGCTTCTTTAGTGTCTATAGTAGTCTTATAAGATTATTATAATAATATTACTTTTTATTTAATATTTATAGTATATAATAAGTTATTAGCTTATATATTACTATATTTACTATAGTATATAGTATATAGTACTTATTATTTACTTTAGCTTTTACTTTTTATTAATTATTTAAGAAGGTTATAAAGAAGCTTTTAAGGCTTAGTCTTTTCTTTTAACTAAGGGACAAAAAGAATACCCCCTTAGAGGCTACTAGTAGGTGTCTTACTCCTAGTCTACACTTTAGTATACTAAAGTTAACTATACCTATATATACTAAAAGGTGTCTTTATTATTAGCTTATTTTTATTTCTTAGCTTTACTTCTCTTAGCTTAGACTATTAGGTTAATTATATAGCTATATATTAATCTATATATCTTTTACTATTTTAAAATACTAATTATTATTTAGTAGTATAAAGGTTAAAAGACCTTCTTTATATAAGGTTATAATCCCTCTTATACTATAGTGCTTAGCCTTATTATATAATCTTACTACTTAACTATTATTAAGTATTATACCTAGTTAACTAATTTTAAAGAATAAGGCTATCTTAGTATTTAAATTACTAGGGCCTAGTGTTATCTTAGGAGTCTATACCTCTTTTTTTTCTCTTATAGTAATACTTTAGTTATATTACTTAATATCTTAAGTAATTACTTTAGTATTACTTAATAAAGGATTATTATTCTATATTATAGTAACTATTATTTTAAATACTATTATTATTACTTTTATTAACCTAAGTATATTTATTATTATATTTTACTTATAGTCTTTATCTTTAATAATTTTAACTATACTTCTTACTTTTAACTTTACTATTATATTACTTTTCTTATCTTTACTTTAGAAGAACTTTATTATATTAAAGTATATATTATATATAATAATTACCTTATATAGCAAGAGTACTTAAATCTTATAAAGGTTATATATATTTTATATATAGTTTACTAAGTATCTAATATATACTTATAATTTAACTTTAAATTATTTTTTTTAATACTTTTCTTATAGTTACTTATTAATAAATAAGCTTAATATCTATATATATATATTTATTCTTAGTAAAAACAAAGGTTATACTATAATACTACTATATACACTAGTGCCTACTAGTAAAAGTACTATTTAAACTAAGCCTTTTTTTTCTTAATAGGTAAAGTCTAGTTATAATATTAGAGAAGGCTTATATTATATATATAGATTACTATAAGCGCTACCTCTAGCTATAGTTTATAGGGTAGTCTAGAGAACAAAAGTATCTTTACTATATAAGTAATAATCTTTTACTTTACTTTCTCTCTACTGCCTATAGGCTCTTTTATATTTAGTAAAAAGAGCTTTATATTTATCCTAAGCTCTACTATTTACCTTTTATACTCTATATCTCTTTTAATACTAATAACTAATATATCTTTATTTTAGTAGATTTTATAAATATTAACCTCTTACTACTAGGTAACTTAAGTAATAAATCTATAGATAACTAAGAATATATTATTATAGGTCTTTTTAAGAAGTATAACTTTAAAAAGCTAAGTAAT